AGTTACACTGTCGAATGCTTTATGAAAGTCTACAAAACAAGTACATAATCTACCCTCTTTAGTTAAGTCTTTACTGTGACAGTATTTGTCTATCAGTGTTTTCAGTACAAATATATGATCTGTCAGTTCTAGCATTTTTTTGTAAAGCCAATCTGAGAATTATGAATTCAATTATTTTGGTACAAAAATTTGTCAAGTCTTGTATTTAAAGTATTGTTAAAAAGTTTACCAATGGCCATAGTAATTGTTATACCTCTATAGTTAGATGGATCACAAGGATCATCAGATTTGAAAATTGGCGAAATATAACCATCAGCCCATATCGTTAGGTACACACTGTTCTTGAGGCATAAATAAAACAATTTATATAAGCAATTTATCAAATATGACTAACTATGTTTTAAAATTTCATTTGATATCTAATCAAGTCTACAAGCCTTGCCTAATTTTAAGCTTGCAGTAGCATCAGAGATTTCTTTATTACTAATTTGGTTATCTAAATCATTAAAGATTGAAAACTTGTCATTGTCACTCAGGATGATTTCCAATTTCCAATTGTTTAAGACTGAAATAGAATGTATTGTCAATTGCAGAGTGAAGATTACGAAAGTGATTGGCCCATGTATCTGAGTCAATTTGTATATAGGGACTAGGTCGACCTCCCAGGCAATAGGATAGAAATCAGCGCCTGTAATTTTTTAAGTCGTGTCTGTCACGAAACAAGCCCTTATGTTGCAGCTTGCTTATCCATTTTTTTAATATAACGGAACTATAAACAACTGTTATACAAGCTGCATGCTAGTCCAAATAATTATGACGTCTCGAAAGGCTATTTTAATTTTTTACTGTGACGCCTTCCTTCGACAGTAAAGGCGTCAAAGCAAACACATAAAATAGCCTTTGAAGATGTCATTTTTATTTTGACTAAGCTGTAGCTATAATAATTGTCCCTGCAAACTGTTGACCGTTTTCATATAAAATCGGTTGTGCGGGCGGAAACAGCAGGGTAAAAATTTAGTAAAAAATCACTGATAATGTGCCGGAATGATAGTATTAGGTCAAAATGGTTTCACCTTTCGAAAATTCCCCTATTATTTCTTTTAAAATAAGTTTTCATAAAAAAAAACTCTACTGAAGATATTTGTTGTCTAAATTACATGATTTTTTTTTTTTTAAATGTTTGCAGTTTCTTGTAAAAATTAGGACATATATTTTTGGAGAAATCACTGTTTAAAGAGGAATATATATATATCATGTACTGTGTTACGACGCTAGATAAAAACTGACAAGGAATGGTAACACCCGGCCACCGAAAGCTTGATTTTTATCAAGCCGAGGTGGTCGAGTGGTCTAGCGCAACGGGCATAGTTCAAGGCGATTTGGTGCCACGATATCTCAGTAGTATGAGTTCGAATCCCGGTCAGGGAAGAACAAAAATTTGCTTCCGCAAATTTACAGATCTAACAATGTTGGGCTGTTATTTAGACGAATTATATATATATGTATATATGTATACAAGTCTAAATTGAAAACAACGTTCAAACCTATGATTGCGTTGGATAAAAACTGCAATTTTTATACGTGTACATGTAAAACAAATTTCTTGGTAGAGGGGTCTAAATACAGCACAAACAACATTTTCCAAAAGACCAAAATAGTGAAAAAGTATATTTTAACAAAACACATTTGACTAACAGGTCGAACAACGGATGTTCTTAAACCCTGCTGACTGCCATTGGCGATTGCCAAATAAATTGACCACCAGATGTAACAAAATGGTTCTTAATATTAATCTAACACCAAACAGAAAACAATAAACTTGCGGAAAAGATGATATACCACACACATGAGGTGCAAAAATTTGTACACCATATCCGGATTTCGACAATTAATGTCTCTTCAGTGATGTTAGGGATCGAAACGGTATTTGGAAGGCCATATAATTTACCTCAATTTAGGATAGACTCTTGAATTTTAAAGAGTCGAAATAGGATGAACGGATCATATAAACCCGAAGGAAAATATAATACAAGCCCAAACGAAAAATATAAACAAGTCTAAATTGAAAACAACGTTCAAACCTATGATTGCGTTGGATTAAACCGCAATTTTTATACGTATGCATGTAAAACAAATTTCTTGGTAGAGGGGTCTAAATACAGCACAAACAACATTTTCCAAAAGACCAAAAAAGTGAAAAAGTATATTTAAACAAAACGCATTTGACTGCTGACTGCATATATATGTTTTTATGAACGTTACATTTGTAAATGGCTCTGCACAATCACGGCAATGTGTTTCTTGATATAACGTTACTTACTTAAATCACTATGTGTGCATTTTATACACCTTAAAACAAAATTACTGATATTTATAGATAAGTGTGATATACTATTTTCATGTATATTGATACGCATGAGTGATAACTGTAAATTAATTAATGCTTTGTTACTCAGAAACTGATCTAAACAACACTAACGAGTTAATTATGAATACGAAAGTTAAAGTAATATTTATAACTGATGAAAACACAATTGAATAAAAAAGATAGAACAAAAATCAATTAATTTGAATCACTTTTGCGTTTGACCTTGCGTTAATAAAAAATCGATTCAACACTTCATTATCAACTTGATTGAACACTTCACTGTCATTTTCATGACCTACAATCATGCTTTTTTCCGGCCTCACTAACGGATACGCTCACATATAATAGATGCACCCAAATACTACCCAATCAGACTTTAAGAAAGCCTTTATTTAATACGAAATAAGCTAGTATTTACCAATGAGAATCCTTAAACAGATTTACCCCATTGTGACGTGAAACTTATGACTATTTAGACCGTGTCTCATGTGACACGGTAATCAACACGATTAAATCATACTTTTTAGTCATCCTGTGACTGATTTTAATGTGATATACAAAATCAGTTCATTCTTAATGCAATGTTTTTATAATTGATTGCTAGTCATGGATTTTACTACATGTGCACTCACTCCTTTTGCGTATTTACTATTTTTTAACAGAGACAAAACATATATTTTAGGGGATTACAAAAAGGTCAAAAAAAGACAAGAACACCAAACCCAAATAAAAAAACAACAACATAAAAATAACAGTTTACAACTACGCACACTTATCTATATATTTAAATCATTCTTAGTTCAAAATCTTTGTACATGAATAAGATATTGCCAAAGCCGAGAGAGAACAAAATTGAGTGTAATACAGTAAAACAAAATAACGATTCTTACATTTCGTGCCTCTGAAGCGTTTTATGGATTTACCTTTCATCAGGAACTCTCAAACCCAAACAGGGGTATAAAACTTGTAGACACGTTAAGGTCTAAAGACCAAAATGGACCTAAAAGAATAGTAAAATTCATCTCAGGTCATTTTTTTATGAGAGAGTCTGAACCTTAGTTTCGTTATAATTTCTCAATTATTAAAATAACCATAAATAACCACAAGTGAGAGGTTTATCCAGCTATAAAACCAGGCTTAATACACCATTTTCTACATAAAGAAATGCCTGTACCAAGTCAGGAATATGACAGATGTTTTCCATTCGTTTAATGTGTTTGAGCTTTTGATTTTGCCTTTTGATAAAGGACTTCCCGTCTTAAATTTCCCTTGGAGTTCGGTATTTTTGTTATCTTACTTTTTAATGTCCAAAGACCTAACGCTTTAGATACATTTGTAATGTTAATTGTTTGAAAGAAAAGTTATATCAGAACAGGAGATATTGTATTCCTTTTAAAACAAAACAAATTGTACGAAAGAAATGAAACAAGGAAGACTATACTTCTTGGTTATCATGATCTTAACATACGGGAAATGTACACTTAGTTATGGAAATTAATATCCTGATTATAAAGTATACATACAATGTGGTTGTTTTTTTCTCACAATTTTAAATTATCAATTTCATGAATAAAATTACTTCCAAATTTGTTATAAATGTCATTTAATGTGTTCCAGTTGTGTCTATTTGTAATTGAACATCGAACAAAAGCGGAACAGAAGATACAAAAGGGATATTCAAACCCATAAGACGGAGACAAACTTTACAACGTCATAGCAGAAAACTTAACACGACCAATAGACAAACAACAGTCTGCAAAACATAAACAAACAAAGATTGAGCAATACGAACCCCACCAAAAACCTGGGGTGATCTCAGGTGCTCCGGAAGGTTACGTGTGTCCTGCTGAGTTGTTTCAGACTGGCAGTTACAATATTTGTATTTGTAAACAAAATAGAGAATACACCTCCTAGGAGCAATCAAAAATCAGAAATCCATTAAAAACAGACAACACCATGGCCAAAACAAACTGAAAAAAAAACGACAAAAGGACAAATAGTAATAACTAACACTACATAGAAATTATCGAGCAACACGAACCCCGCCAAAGACAAGGGAGAATGCAGTTTAATATCGGTTAACCAAATCACGAAATTTACGACTGGAGGACTTCATCTTTACCACTTGTGACCCATAATGCAATTGCTTTTGTAAAGCCTTGTAAGCAACAACCATCTTTCAAAGAAATCATGATATGACACGCAAGCACTTGAATACCGTATCAACTTGGAGATATATGATACCAGGTATTCCATGCTGCTTGAATGTTGCTACACGGAAATGGAAAGTTCACTTTTGGAAGTTAAAATTACCTCTTTTGTCTAAAGTTTGTTTCTCAACCGAGCCACGAGTACAATATCTAGATGTTCCTTGAGATACGAGGCAAACATAACGGTATATGTGGTATAATTTATTTCTGTTCATACAGCCATATTGACGCAGTCTATTTCAAGTTTAGCCCTTAAATTCGAACAAAAGCATTAATCACCCGTGAATAGTTTCTTTACACCTTTCACATATTGTATTGTGTTTCTTCAATCCTTTATTAACTACATACATTTTTTTTAACATAAAACATAAAACAAAAGCTGTTTTGCAAATGGAAGTATTTTAGGCAACTGCATGTATGGGTTGTTATGATTGGCTGTGATTTTGGCTATTTTGGCTGTTTGGCTGTTTGTCTTTTCGTGTTTTTTTGTTGTTTTTTTTGCATTGTGCTGCCTTTTTCTTCTATTTAATGTATGTAATTGCTCCCTTGGTATTTTCTCCTCCTCTTTAGTTGAAATTTAAAATAACCATGAAACAAACTTGTTATTGTCCTGGATTTCCGCATCACGTTTCCTCTCAATTTGACATAATTGCACAAGACGATGTTTTTTCGACCGGGCAAAATGTCGGCAGATGTGTTTGACTGATATACTATTTAGCCATATGTCAGTCGGTTTTATGTAAATTTAATTTTTAAATTTAACGTCACTCCACTATATTCACGTCTATGAGTTTGTCTACTTTTTTAAGTCCCGCATTCACACTTTCCATCTTTTAACATACTTCAAACAAGGAAAAGTGAAAATAAATATATGTCATCTAGGACCGCCCATTTGTTGGACAGCTTTCTGGATAACACTAATGACCGGTGCTTCACTGATTGCTAGATAATGTTTGTATTGGATATCTTTTTATAAGATGGACGAAAACTATGGCTATTTTTTTACTATAGAAATGAAAAGTAATGGGGTCAGTGTAGGAATTTAGTGCGTACCTACAGTGATTTAAAAAAAAACCATGTGAATGACCAAAACATTCCGCATGACCATATGTTTTGATTGATTCTAAAAATATGGCTACATTTGTATTTTAATGAATGACATATAGCAGGTTCTGATTTCTAAAGGTAAACAATTAATTCAAGAAACAGGTTAACATTGAACACGTTGAAGTCAATGGGAGATTTTTTTACTTTCTGGTTCGAGCGTCACTGATGAGTCTTATGTAGACGAAAAGCTCGTCTGGCGTACACAATTTTAATTCTGGTAACTTAGGTGAGTTTATTTATATGATTTCATTAATTTTCAGAACATAGTTGTTGGCATGATGACCTAAAATCCGTATCGAAAACCAAATATATAAATGGATTAACAACAGTATTAAGAAGATGTCCTCTGTAAAAGCTTATAGCTATGACGTATTCCGTATCCGTTAAATTATCCCAGAAATTAGCAATAGTAGATTCTATAATCATCAGTGCAATTCTAGGAAGATAAGAAATACAAAATATTATTGTTATAAGTAAAAACATTAAAGAAAATCGATGTTTGTGCATAATAAGGGAGACAATTCTAACATATTTTGATTCCCGTCTTGTTTCGATGGCAGACGGGACAGTAGATATTTGCCCCTCAGTATCCGATCCTCCATTAGTGTCCTCTTGTTGGTTGATTTTCGTCGTTGAAGTCATCTTTGTGCTGTTGGAATCAGTTTTGTCGACAGAAACATCAGCTTTTGTTGAATTGGATATATCTGTTTGAATTGTATTTCCTGAACTGTGTTGTGCACTGACGTTTAAAGAATGTTTATTTGGTCGACAGGTATTTCTCTTCCTGAAAGATTCTTGTTTGTATATGGTACGCAGTATCAAGCAATATAATGTGATCATTGCACAAATCCCAGACAAACAAATTAATAACAATGTAACTGAATAACCAAATAGAAAATCTCTATTAACATTTGGCACAGCTCCGCAATTATACCCCGTAATTGTTCTGTTTTCGGTTTTCAATTGGATCTCATCTTCGCCGTACAAAACCAAACAGGGTACTGATATAACAATGGATCCAATTATGATTGCTGTCATTGTCAATCGTTTACTTCGAACACTCATTGATGAGTTCATTAGTCTACTGACCTTGATATATCGTTGCACAGCAATTGCTAATAGCAACAGAGCCGAGCTTAAGGAAATTGATTGGTGTAAAGTCCAGATCAATTTACATATTAAGTCATTTCGAAAATTAAAGGGATTAAAGTTCAAAGAAATCGCATACGTTGCTCCAATACTACAAGCGATCATATCAACCAAAGATAAACATGGAATGAAATATCTGTCATCCGTTTTTGATTTAAGTTTAAATTTATAAACGAACAAAACCAAACCATTACCGACTAGACTAGGGAGTAGGAACGCAAATAGAAGTACAGTATTTGGTATCATTGACTTAACCTTAGCATTGTTCAGTTCTTCCAGATATATGTTGCTGAGGCTTTCGTTTGAAATAAACATCTTTCTTGGAATCTACAGATACAAATTTATAGATTACATATATATGTTTGAAAAATTTACTTTAAGGAAACTTTTATCGCAATTACTTTATTAAGTGTAAATAGGTACTAACTAATTCACATTAATTTTGTTAATATTGCTGGTTCATTCTAATCATATGACTTATTCATTCCAGACAACATTGATCGATCTATATTTTTTCTTAGAACTACAAACATACATGACAGTCTGGATTGGGGTTACAGAATAGAGAATAATGGGCAAAAAAAGCAGAATAAAGGGGAAGCAATATAAAAATATAAAAAAATAGGCCAAAAAAGTTTTAAAAGAATAGAGAATAATTGGGTGCTGAAATATAAAGAATAAATAATAAAGGCGAAAATACAGAAAAAAAGGTCCAAAGAATAGAAGGACACACCATCCAGACTCTCATTCATAAAATACCTTAACTTCAGACAAAATATGTCAAAGCTCTATATATTGATATATATTTTTTTTCGTATAGTTTAAACATTCGTATTCCTTTGTTAATTTATGTATCATTGTCATTTTGCTTAGTTTCTTCTGTTACCTATTCTGACATCGGACTCGGACTTCTTTTAAACTGAGTTTTACTGTGTGTATTGCTGTGTGTTTGATTATTCTACATTGGCTAGAGGTATAGGGGGAAGGTTGAGATCTCACAAAACATGTTTCACCCCGCAGCAGTTTAACGCATGTCACAAGTCAGGAGTCTCTGGCCTTTGTTAGTTTTGTATTGTTTTTTTTTTAGTTTTAGCTCATTTATATGTTTCGGAGTTTAGTGTGACGTCCATTTTCACTGAACTAGTACTTTTGTTTAGGGCCAGCTGAAGCCTGCCTCCGGGTGCGGGATTTTCTCGATGTGCTGAAGACCCACTGGTGGCCTTGGGCTGTTTTCTTCTCTTTGGTCGGGTTGTTGTCTCTTTGACACATTCCCCATTTACATTCTCAATTTTACTTTCCCCCTATAATTCGAACGTAACAAAACTCAATATGTTTTACATATTTATATCTCAAAAGCAAAGGCATGGACATTTTATCATGGAAAAGAAGTCATTTACAGCAATATCGTTATTTTGAATTACAACAACAAAATTATTACAAAGCAGTGGGATGTCTAATCATGTTCTTCATTTTTTTTTGCGTTTTATCTTTGGTAGTGAATAAAAATATTTACAAATGAATGTACCTACCTCCTTGTCAGTCGTTTACTTCTCAGGCTCATGGAACAGTTTAATAGTCTTCTGACCTTAGCATTCCGTTTTTTTTTTTCATTCTCATTCAGTTCGCTTGTTATACTTCCGTTTTCTATCCTTTACTTCCCGGTATTGTTTTCATCTATTATTATTATACTATTTCTTGATTTACATATAATCCCTTTAGTAATTTACATAGAATTCACTGCAAAATCACAGATTTTAATTAATAGAAAACAAACACACAAAAATGAATGGCAGCGTCTTCATACATTTTTCTGCCATTTGTACACCTTTTTGTATATAAGAATTAATAACATCGATTGAAAAATAAAAAGATGTAGTATGATTGAAAATTAGAAAACTTTCAACCAGAGACAAAATGACGTAAAAGAGAGGCGAAAGATACCAATGGTATATTCAAACTCATAAGTTGAAAACAAACTAACAATGCCATGGCAAAAACGAAAAAACGACTAAAAAACCAACAAAAGTACATAAACATAACAAAGGAAACTAAAGATTGAGCAAATCGAACCCCACCAAAGCCGGGGTGATCTCAAGTGCTCTGTAAGGGTAAGCAGATCCTGCTCCATATGTGATACCCGTCGTCGTGCTCATGTAAGTGCAAATCCGTTGGTAGGTTTAATTCGGTTAGGTCACATTCGGGGAAAAGAGGAGGGGATCGGGTTACGACAATTGGAACATATCCGTCGTCATAAAAGTTAGCAAATAAAGGCCACCGTACGACCTTCGACAATGTGAAAAACTAATACTGCATATCAAGCTATAAAAGGCTCCACCATGCCAAATTTTAATCAATTAAAACGAGAAACTGACGGCCTTACTTATGTTCAAAACATAAACGAAATACCGATATGATTTACAGAAACAAACTACAACCAACTAATTGCAGTCCCTGGACTTTGGACAGGCTCAAAAGTCATACACTATGTCTGATATATATAAAGGCAACAGTAGTATACCACTGTTCGAAATTCATAAATTGATTGAGAAAAAACAAATCCGGGTTACAAACTAAAACTGAGGGAAACACATCAAATATACGAGGAGAATAAAGACACAACAGAAACACTAAAATGCAACACACACAGAAACGAACTAAAGATAACAATAACCATTTTCCTGACTTTGTACAGGACATTTTAAGAAAAAATGGTGGGTTGAACCTGGTTTTGTGGCAAGCCAAACCTCACGCTTTAATGGCAATGTTAAATATAACACTAACATGACAACATTACATGACAGGACTATAATACAATTAAATGGAAGAACATACAGGACAGAGAAACACACAAATAAACAATACCATAGAACATTACGACAAGCTTAAAGTTATCAAAAGAATATCCGAAACAGGTTTTGTATCTCTAAATATATAGTGTGTGAGAGTATGATACATTTACCATGGATGTCTAGTGAGAGAATGATACATTTACCATGGATGTGTAGTGCGAGTTTGATACATTTACCATCGATGTAATGAGAGTATGATACATTTACCATGGATGTGTAGTGAAAGTATGATACATTTACCATGGATGTCTAGTGAGAGTATCATACATTTACCATGGATGTGTAGTGAGAGCATGATAAATTTACGATGGCTGTCTAGTGAGAGTATGATACATTTACCATGGATGTCTAGTGAGAGAATGATATATTTACCATGGATGTCTAGTGTGAATATGATACATCTACTATGGATGTCTAGTGAGAGAATGATACATTTACCATGGATGTCTAGTGAGAGTATGATACATTTACCATGGATGTCTAGTGAGAAAATGATACATTTACCATCGATGTCTAGTGAGAGTATGATACATTTACCATGGATGTCTAGTGAGAGTATGATACATTTACCATGGATGTCTAGTGAGAGAATGATACATTTACCATGGATGTCTAGTGAGAGAATGATACATTTACCATGGATGTCTAGTGAGAGTATGATACATTTACCATGAATGTCTAGTGAGAGTATGATACATTTACCATGGATGTCTAGTGAGAGTATGATACATTTACTATGGATGTCTAGTGAGAGAATGATACATTTACCATGGATGTCTAGTGAGAGTATGATACATTTACCATGGATGTCTAGTGAGAGTATGATACATTTACCATGGATGTCTAGGTGAGAGTATGATACATTTACCATGGATGTCTAGTGAGAGAATGATACATTTACCATGGATGTCTAGCATCAGACAGATTTTCAAAATGTATGAATGTCTCTTGTAAGCATGTTTGCATCTCAAACAACAAGGTATCTACGTATATTAATGGCCTTATGGGTAGACCAGGGAAAGAAAGCTTAACACGAATGAAAAAGACCTTATGAAACAGCCAAAGCCATCAGTAAAAAAATTAGAACAAATATATTGATTGATTGATTGATTGATTGATTGATTGATTGATTGGTCCCTGTTTTACGTCCAATGGTAATTTTTCCATGCATATCCAGGAAGAGAACAAATAGTTAAATTGTGTGTATACCTTCTTTAATTTGTTTTGTATAGAATTGTGTAGACTGAAAAAAAAACTTGATTATATTGCCAATAAGACAACTATCCACCATAGACCAAATGACGAAGATAAGCTCTTTCTTCTTTGACTTTGTCATTCAACCAAATTATCAATTCTTAATAAAGGAGTTAACAATAATCGATTATGGAGGCATCTGTACAAATTATGTAATTCGTTGCCCGATGAAGCTATATTCAATCTTATTATAATAAAGTGTGTTGATTTCAATAAACAACTGAACAGGAAATAACAGGTATTTGAATTAGCATGAGAGTTTATTTGCAACCTCCTGGACTAAAGTGTATATCATCTATAGCTATATCGCCTGTTACACCGCTTCCACGAACTGCTTCAAATATGATCTGTAAGAAAATCAGAACTTGTATTAAAAAATAATTTGATAAAACATTTATTTTGGTTTAAAAACAAATATTTATTTTTGTTCTGTAAAATACGGACACCACAAAATATCGCATTCTAATTTTATTCGTGATAATCTACTAAAGCAAATACACGAATTGCATTACTTACAAAAGATACGAAGGGACATTTAAAACTCACAAGTCGAGGAAAAACTGACAAAAATACGAACAGGTCCACAAAACACTACATAGAAAACTAAAGATTGAGCAACTCAAACCCCTACCAAAGACCGGGTGCAAATGCATGCGCCCTGGAAGGGTTAGCACATTCTGCTACATACCTCATATTATTGTCAATATTCTCAATAATCGCATTTTCGCTTTTACGAAACTTCGTTTAAATTATTAATCCTATCCAATTGTTGTCTTAAGCAAACAGTCTTACGCACACGTTGGCGTTTTATCAAAATGCAAACCAAACTGCGTCAAAATAAGTAAAACGTATTTGGACTGGGAACACCTAACACTACAACTAAATACAGCGTAATGAAACAGACCTGTCCGTAGATTCAGATAAGCAAACACCCAGATGATACAAAGCTTAATATAAAGTGAAATAACACGTTATATAATTCGTGCGTCCAAAGAGCTTTTCTTGGTTTACTTTACCCAAGTCAGGAATATGACAGTTGTTTTCCACTCGTTCCGTTAGTTGAAATTGTCGAGCGTTTGGTTTTGTCATGTTTTATGGACTTCCTCCTTTTTGATTTACCACGGAGTTCGGTATTTTTGTTGATACTTTTTTACCAGGAACGCTCACACCTAATCATTTTAAAACCAGGAATGTATTAATACCTAAAAAGTTAAGAGCTATTTGACCAAAAGGGACCGAAAAAGATTTCCTCCGGATTATAGAAAAAGTTGATTTCAAAATTTATTTCAACACTGTTTAAACTGATTTTCCATCACAAAATTGGACACTCACACGTTTGTCAATTGCGCCATCTACTTCAAGTGATAATGTATTCCACATATCTCCGTGACTACCAGATTGTGTCCACAACTTCTGATCTCCATGGTAAATATTAAGAGATCCTACTGCTGTACCATACATATGGTAGCTAAACTTTAGACATCGTAAGCATGCTAAAATAAATAAATATATTCACATTAATTCTGGTATTCATAAACATAGAACTGATTTTTGAGATGACAAAGATCTGACTTTTCAGATTTATCTCCTTCATGTCCGATTGTCATACAAGTGAGGGGTTTAGCTAGCTATAAAACTAGATGTAATCCACCGTTTTCTATTTAAGTAGAAATGCCTATACCAAGTCAGGAATATGACAGTTGTTTTCCATTCTTTTGAAATGTCTGAGCTTTTGATTATGCCATTTGATAAAGGACTTTCCATTTTGAATTTTCCTTGGAGTTCGGATTTTTTTTTATTTTACTTTTAAGGTTACAGTTACGTAACTGTGTGATCTCACAAACTTTCTTGAAATTTTGCATGCAATTAGAGCACGGGGACAAGCATATGAACATCTAAAAAAAATCCGCGATATAACAAATTATTTTCACTGCCTTTTAAGAGCTTTTTTGAAGAAAACACATAACTAAGATCATATATTTTTTTAAAGTTTACAGTATTTTGAACTTACTTGAAAAAGATTGTCTCGATATTAACCTGGCAACGTGATGTTCCTGCACCGGAGGAGATGCTTCTATGTAAAGATAATACGTCCCTTCATAGGCAGCTGATGGACCTGTATATTTACTTGGCGTTAAATCCTGTTGTAAAAAAATGTACTTTTAAACACTTGAATTAACTGTTTAATGGCTGACTTTTCAAAAAATGCCATGATTGTTCACAGATGTATGGGCAAATTAGTGTTTTGGTTTTTATTTGATTTTCTGCTACGTCAAACAATTTGATACATGTATCATGTATGTTGTATTTTCGAATTGGGTTACTCTTTCATTTTATAACCCTACTGTTATCAATAATTAGAATTTTTTACCCTGGACTTCTGTTTATTGTTTTAGGGATTAGCCACTGCAATATTTCATAAGGTTGATATATTTTACTACTAAATTGTACTGTGGAAGCGTATTGTGTACTATATGTATCACAACTTTATCTTTAAATAGACGTCAATCGTTATTTATAAAATATTTAATTTTTTTGTCAAAGATCTTATCTTATCGGTTATTTTTAAATATCCTTGTTTACAATTTTTTCCCACCAACCTCATACAAGTACTTTTGATATTGATCTAATGGTTCAGAGATCAAGAGGAATTGAAAGATGTTATATAGGAAGAATGAACTTAGGAGAGAAGGATGTTATATCATCGATGTTAATCGTGGGAAAAAATAATAGTAACAGTAAAAGTTGTGGAGATGTTAAATAAAAAAAAAAAGGTCATAAAAAATACATGGTAAATAATTTTTGTTTTGTTCGAATAAGACTCATTAGTGTTGCTCGAATTAAAATATATAAGCAAGGTATAACAACCTGCCCAATATGAAGAATTTATATATTGGTACACATTTTACTATACCGTATTTCTGGTCCAGTTGAAATTATCTGATAAAGCATCTTGTAGAAAGCAACCGTCGTCATTTTCTTCGAATGTGCAACTGTAGTACTGTGCTCCTTTAAATTTAAAGATAATGATACCAACTTATCATCATGTCAAAATCAATACGAAAACAAAATATTTTTTTATAATAAACAAATTTTAAAAACAGGCCTTAATACTTCTGTACGATTGACAATATACTCCGGAAGAGTGTTCTTTTGGTTTTTTTCAAATTTAAAAAAGGTTCGTCAACTTAGATAGTTTGTAACCTTTTACGTTTGATAAAAACAAAATACTGACATTAAAAACTCCGAAACTAAAAGAAATCTTAATTTGAAATTAAAAAGAAAGTGCATGGATATAATATCATCTGTTTTTTTTTTAATTCTATTTCATGACTTTTGGGTAGATTTTTTTTTAAATGATAAGTGGCGATTTGGGCGAATAACTCTAATCTGTTTCGCTACGTGCAATGTAATCCGACAAATATTTGTTATGTTAGAAAAACTCTTTGACATTTCATAATTATTAGCGATTGTTTGCTGCAAATCACTACAAATACTATATATATATCACTGAACAAACCAGCAAGTCTGGCCGTTGCGCAATCAACAGTATCCGATATAATTGTTTTCTGTCCGTTTTCTGGACAATCTTACCGTATTGACAATATTTCTCACAAGCTTCACCGAAGAACTGATCGCTACACGCACATGTAGAAATGTTTGATGAGAATACGCATGAACCTCCATTTAGACAGCGGACCTCGGGTCTATTGCAAGGTGTATCTATAATCGAAATTTGAACAAAAGGTCATTGTTATCATTTATAGCTTAAATAAGACACGTGTTTGTCTGCTAATTGAATTTGTATAGGCATACATTAACTTATGAATACATCAATCGGAAAAGACAAAATTACATTTTGAAAGATGATGTATACATTTAACGTCACTTTGAACTATCTAGAATCAAAGTCTTGTATGCTCATCCAGTACGTTTAGAGTTGTCGAAGATAAGTAAATACATTCATTATGTTGATGTCGTATTCAAATTTTATTTTATATAAAAAAAATTAAAATGTTGACCCATGTTTTTAGAAAATGAAAGACAAAAGTTCACAATGAGATACTGGTTTCCTCCCAAAGGATTGTGAATTAAAAAGTACTGTAAACTATGACTACATACGTAATAACACAAAAAGAACGCACAAAAGTAGGTATTTACATTCGCAATATTTTCCTCTGGTACCACCAGGACAGGAGCAGTTAAATTTCCCGTTGACTGCATGACAAACTCCTCTATTTTCACACTTGATGTTCGTACAAGGTGTTCCTAAAATTAAAAATAAACACGTCTGTAAAAGGGCATTTGGTGTTTATAAAATATACTTTATTTACTGGAAATAATTAATTATTCATATGTGAAATCTATGAGATATAGTATGATTTCTAAGGAGTCAACAACCCACCAAAAGACCAAAGAACAGGGATGTAAACAAATACAGGTCGAAGTACATAGCCGATTCAATCTGTTCAGTATAGGCTATTTTAGACGTAATTACTCCTAAATGTATTGTAAATAAAATTGAGAATGGAAATGGGGAATTTGTCAATGTGTTTGTTTCCATAACGCGTACGTTTGAGCAGAATAGATATTCCAGAAGCACACGCCATGCGCACTAAAATTATATAATATCATGGCAGTATGCTTTTGACTAAATTAATACCTTCACAGGATGGTCCATAAAACCCAGGAGGACACCTACATTCTCCAACAGAACCATTAACTGTACAGAAACCTCTATTATAGCAAATAACATTACTGCATAGCGAATCTATAAAACAACAATGATTAACGAAATGTTCTACAGCGTGTTGAAAAACAAAGTAAATCAATTATGTATTTCACATTCAGCTTTTTGCCGGTTATATTGTTAACACAGCTTACACATTAAGAAATTGTCCTGCAATTCGCTCTACTTGTCTAGACTATTGATAAAGGTACTGATTATAATATTGCTGTTCACTGGCTTTTGTTTTTTAGCTTGTGATTAGCCTTCTATTGTACAAATAACAGGTATGCAAATAAACTTTTGCTTTCTTTGTACTTGTACAAAAAAGTCCCATGTTACTCCGCTTTCATATTGAGCAAACGGTAATGTGAATATTTCTTTTTGAGTGACTGTTCATTTTTGGGTCCTCTTCGAGGTCCGCGCTCAAACTATGTCGATTGATTTCTTTGAAAAATCAGAGACAACTCGCTACAAAACAGGAGAAAAGCTCTGCAAGCCTCGCTTTTTGTCCTGTTTCTAAAGCTCGTACAAGTCAATTTTATATTTTCCGACAATGTACAATGTATATAATGTATTCACTAATGTATAATAGTTAAAAGCAATATCAAAATGGGTCTTTTGTTTTTCTGTATGGTTAATTTTTAGCATAACACAAATTTATACATTTTGATATTACAAATATACAAAATACTTTAGATACATCACACTTAATCTTTAATTTGAGAGATACATAATAGTTGTGTTTTCATTGTTATAAAAAAGAAAATACATAATGATACGAATTTAATGAATCCACAAAAACGCCTTATTGATATATAAAAAACACTTCGTAATGTGGGCAAAATTAAAGGTTACTTACGTTCGCATAAGTTTCCATAATAACCTTCCAAGCATTTACATTTAAAGTCGGTCTGGGTTTCAGAACAGGTTCCATTGTTGGCGCATACATCATATTCACAAATGATTTTAAATTCAAGTCCTATTTGAAATAGTTTAGCATAACATGAAACATGTGATTTGTGTGTCACACAAATAATCATTATAAATAAGATTATACACTACATGTAGTCTACAGTATGAAAAATGAATAATTATAAATGAAAGCGAAGTGCAAAAATGAAATCGTCTCGTTCTTTAATTTTAGTTTTGTAAAATCACATTCACACACACGATCGAGTGCTGTATTTTAAAATGTGCATTGGTTTTCCTGTTTGAATTGTTTTACACTTGTCATTTTTGGGCCCTTTATAGCTTGCTGTTTGGTGTGAACCAAGGCTCTGTGTTGAAGGCCGTACTTTGACCTATAATAGTTTACTTTTTATACATTGTGATTTGGATGGGGAGTTGTCTCATTGGTACTCATACCACATCTTCTTATTTCTACATAAGTCAATATTTATATTAGAGGCATCTCTTTCATTTATTCAAGCATATTTCGTGATTCTTTATAAAGAGACGGACGAACCAAAGGGGAAATCAAAATTAATAAGTCGAAGAGAGACCTACAAAAGTATGACAAAACACGACAAACGACGAAAAGACATACAACGGTCTACAAAACATTGCATACAAAAACTATAGACTCAGCAACGCGATCCCAAAATCAAAACTGAGTTTGAACTCAAATGCTCACAAAGCGATGGCAGAATATCGTCCTGTTTCTCGTGTGAGACCCGTTAAAATCATTTAGCGTCTATTCAATATATATCAAATATTTCCAAGTATAAGAAACCTTATTTAAGGTGGTACCCAACACCTTGACTAATATAAATTTGGCTCGTTTAATTTTCATAAAATTTTGACCAAATGTTTACTTTGACCCTTTGACAAAAATATAAAAATTTCAAAAAAAAATTTGAACCAACCACTTTATCAGAAAAATTTCATTGGTTATATAGCAGTTTGACAAACACCAATTTTGATCATTGAGAAGCTTAATATTTCCTTAACAATACAACGTAATTAAAACGTTTAGCCGATTTTTACAGAGTTATCTCCCTGTAGTGTTAGGTACCACCTTAAGGGATAAGAAATGAAACATAAAGATTGATAATATCCAATTTAATTGTGATATGGGACAATTATAAGAGATTTCTTACCTCCATCTTTATGTGTTGACGACTGAAGAACAGAGATCAAAATAATTATAATGATAAATAAAATAATAGATATTAATGCCAGTACAGCAATACACAATTTCCAACGGTCCTTAACTATTCTAAGCAAATGTCTGTAACATGTTGATTTTTTGAGACAGTCAAGTTTTGAGTTTGATTCCGTGGAATAGTTTTCATCTTTGAAGATAATTTCGCCTACATGCATTCCGTTTTGGGAACTTCCGTTATGAGACCTCTGCTGCTCGGTTTCGTTACCATTTGCACAGTCTTCATTAGCTAAGTAACTCGTGTTAGCATAACTGCCGACAGTCAAGTCAGTATATAAGTGTTGATCTTTCTTTTCACACTTATTTGCCTTGCTGTTCAACTCGATTCTTTCATTTCTTGGTTGATTGTTAACATGATCATCCGTTTCTCTGTTAACAGAACTAAATCCAACATTAATATCACTTAAATTAACATTATTTGGTTTAGCACTCATAATTCCTGTTACTTAAAAAAAATAAAACAAAAACTTCAAAGGGTGAAACATAGGGTTTATTTATATTTTTATCTTTAAACAGATGTTCAATATAATTTTTTAGCCAACAGGCTTCATTAATGATTCAATAGGACATGTTCTGAAAAAAAGTTTAATAAAGAAAAATATTTGAATATATATTTTTTTTTCATTTCAACAGGTAAAATCCTTCATAATAATATTTCATGTATGTGCCAAGAAGACCCAATGTGTGCCTCACATAAATGATTTAAATTAAATCATCTACATAGACAATGCATGATTAAATGATTGAGATGAACAATGGCTGGAACTACTGTCGTGGATTGTCATCAATCGCCCATATCTTTAATGCACACTGGCATCAGATAAAGTCGACTATACAAAGGCCTTTAATTCAAATATTAAATATGAGTATTCGTCAATGGGTAAACACATAGCTATTCTTTATATTTATGACAGATCGTATTTAGATTTAGTATGCGTTCATTGTCTGCTGAAAAATATATCTTAATATGTCAGCAACTGTTTCCTTGCGAAATGAATGAATCATTTCATGATTATACTAAGGGTGATACATGCTGGCGAGGGCCATACTTTTAAAGATTGATTTATTAATTTGTGTTTCCTTAACGTCCAGTTGCAAATAATTCATGCAAATTCAACACAAGAAAAATGATTAAAAAAATCAAACATGCTTCATTACAAAGGGAGACCTTAAGGTTCCTTAATTCATTCTTTAATGTTTAGAGAGTTGCAATCACTTGCACGAGACGTCGGATTTAGTGTAACTATTTCTATATACCGGACATGTCTGTGTATTTCAATAACCCAACCGATGACGCCCCTCTCTTTTGATTTGATTTGACTTTTTGTGTTTTAACGCCACTTTTAAACACCGCTTTTTGGGCTATTTCGTGGCGGCCAGTTTTTATTGGTGGAGGAAGCCGGAGTGCCCGGAGAAAACCAACGACCTTCGATAGGAAACTGACAATCCTAGTCAATTAAGATTGGAGTCGAGTGCACCCGCACAAGCGGGGTTCGAACTCACAACCTCAGTGTTGACTGGCTAGTGATTACAGTAGTAACTACTTAGACCTCTCGGCCACCGAGGCCCCCCTCTTTTTTTTTCTTTTTTTTTTGTCACGGGCGTTACTTGGCTTAGAAGTTTAGGTGATACGTGTGTCTAATGATTATATCATTGAGGTTGCACGAAAGATAAATCTACTTTCTAACACAGGCGCTTGGGTATATGATACATAAATTTTTTTTTTTATTTTTTTTTTGTTGGTTTAAATATTTAATTTTCTATATTTATACTCCATATCTATCACTACTGCGCATGTCTCACCTAGTTTCGAGTGATCTTACCAACTTTGAGACAAACCCCCATTTTACTATCCACACTAAGAAAATGGGGGTTTGTCTCAAAGTTGGTAAAACCACTCGAAACTATGTGAGACATGCGCAGTAGTGATAGATATGTAGTATAAATATAGAAAATTGAATATTTTAACCAACAAAAAAATTTTTTTTTAAAAAAGTATGTATCATATACCCAAGCGCCTGTGCTTTCTAATAATAAAAGAGTATGGTACTCATTTAAAGATTTTGAAATTTAAATATTTTTTGTTCAAATCTTTGGATGGGATTCTTGTTTAAACACTAATAATTTTGGATAGTAATGATTCAAAATCTAAAACATCTCTATATACGTTACCGTAAGTTTTTCTGATGACAAATGTGAGCATATGATTTCTTGTTAAAGAAATATTCGTTTTTATTTGATTTAACACACACGGAGTGAATAACTAAGATATGAGAAATCCTTTATGATTTTATATGTGTTACATATCACACGTAAAGGGGATAATAAGTAAATGTCTATACGATAGGCATTCTGAAGTTGAAATCATCCCTTCGTAAATTTTACGGACGCCATCACGAGTTGGTTGACCGTTATGGAATAACCGTTTCACAGATGATATCGGATATGTTCCTTATGTCGTAACTACAATACTCTTCCCTTTTCACGAATGTGACATACCGAATTAGACTTTTTACCGGATTTGTAATAACATAAGCAACACGACGGGTGCCACATGTGGAGCAGGATATGCTTACCCTTCCGGAGCACCTGAGATCACCCCCAGTTTTTGGTGGGGTTCGTGTTGCTTAGTCTTTAGTTTTCTATAGATATAGGAAGATGTGGTATGAGTGCCAATGAGACAACTCTCCATCCAAGTTACAATTTATAAAAGTAAACCATTATAGGTCAAGGTACGGCCTTCAACACGGAGCATTGGCTCACACCGAACAGCAAGCTATAAAGGGCCCCAAAAAATTACTAGTGTAAAACCATTCAAACGGAAAAACCAACGGTATAATCTATATAAAAACGAGAAACGAGAAACACGTATGAACTACATAAACAGACGACAACTACTGTAATCAGATTCCTATGTTGTGTCACCTGTACTATTTTTTGTCTGTTTGTCTTTTTATTTTTGGCCATGGCGTTGTCAGTTTGTTTTCGATCTATGAGTTTGACTGTCCCTCTGGTATCTTTCGTCCCTCTTCTATGTCTTATTACATAGGAATATGCAGTGCTATCACAACAAACTGTATATGCATCGCCCGAAAGCTTAAGCACATAAATATTCGATATTCAAACTATAACTAAACGAGGTTTGGGAATTTTTAATAGTCAGGAGGGAGGGAATGGTCTTTACCGTCAGCTTTCAAACGCTCTCTTTTTAAAATGTTAGCATCAAGTGACCTAAAATGTCTAATGTAATTCAACAACTCGCATAATTCAGTTACTGTAAGCATTAAATAGAGTAAAATGTTTATCGTTAAAAATAACCTAAGCAAATATTGTTAATTGTTATCCGGGTTACCCCCATTCCATTCTTATTAAGGATTATATATGGTCAATTACGACGAGCGGTTAACCGCTATGTAGTGGGTTAGTTTTTTTGAAATCTCAATCCTCGTTTTTTTATTTTCGATCCGTGGACTGATATAACATACATAACCTTTCAACGCGTCCATCAACCTAAACTTGAAATAAAGGATATCACATAATGATAGTAGAAAGAAAGGATACGAGGTATCCATCATGACACAAAACGAGTACATGCACAGCAAAAACACAAAATGCACAGGATTAGCGATCTTATTGCTCCAAGTAACAGTGAGGCTTTCTGCACGTATCAAAAATACTCTCACCCTAGCTCTGATTTAAGTAGAATAAATGTTAAATTATATAACAACAATCAAAATTTAATAATATGATTAAACAAGTTGATCAGTTAATAATCAACCAATAATCACACAATGAAAGGAATTTAATATATTAATTAGCATGGTAATTAAGAAATTACATTCGTATTTTTGTCTAAGTTTTCATTAAAATCTGGTATAAAATTCAAAGATATTTTAATTTTTTGTATAAAGCTTAAAAAAATAATCATAAAACATTCGTATTTTTGTCTAAGTTTTCATTAAAATCTAGTATAAAATTCAAGTAATTCAACTTTTTTTTATAAACTTAAAACATTCGTATTTTTGAATATATTTTTAATGGAACGAGTTTGCAGTGGTACGAGTTCTGATTGGTACGACTTCCCAGTGGTACGAGTTTACGTTGGTACGAGTTAACTTTTTTGGTACGAGTTTACGTGGTACGAGTTTACAATGGTACGAGTTAACTTGCTTCCGTATAAACCCACCACATCCTGTATGTGCATGTCCAGAATCTGGAGCTTGCAATTCAGTGGTCGTTGGTTGCTGTCTATCATGTTTGTTTTTCGTTCATTGTTTTGTAAATAAATCATGGCATCAGTTTTCTAGTTTTCTCGTTGGAATTGTTACAATATGTCATATTGATGCCTTTTAAAACTTACTATACAGTATGGGTTTTACTCATTGTTGAAGCTGTACGGTGACCTATTGTTGCTTACATCGACGTCATTTGTTCTCTGGTGGATAGGTGTCTCATTAAAATCATACATCTTCTTTTTTTCATATTTAACAACAGACTGACGACGCTGACGACAGAAAGTAGGATCGCTTTTTCGCTTCCGTGACAACAGGTCCGACAAAAAGGACCCAGAAGAAGTAGAGCCTAATCAAGTTAGGAATCAGTGCTAGGTCACAAGGTTATAGTCCACAGAAACATATCATCTTACATGAACACATTATTCTCAAGAAGAGATTTTACTTCTAAATGCTGTATGCATAGCCGAGAACAACAAATACCAATTTTTAAGTCTTTGAACCTGCTTTGGCTCGACCTCACGTCCTCCCACACTCGAAGGCAAGCACATTATCACGGGACTACCAAAAGGAGGTTCTAATGACACATAATCATTATGTCCACTCGATACAAACACAATCAATCAAATTTGGATTTTTGCTGTTCTTCATCTGAAAGTTACACTGAGACCTTATTTTTAAAACAATTGGTGTTCTCAAAAAAGTATGCCTTGTGAAGACATTGCCATTGATAAGTGATTTTAGTACTAGCTGGAAATACTCATCTTAATCTAAGACCAATTTCATTCAGGAAATTAATACAGAGGCACCAATAATTTTAGTCTATTGCAAGATTACCACTGTAAATTTAACCTTTGACCCCTAACTTACTAGGGATATTGATCACTCTAAGTAACATTTTCTACCATAATTAATAATGACTCAGAAGATATCATCTTGAAACTAAACCTTTCCCAAATTTTCAGTCTATTTATTTTATACTGAACCTTAACCTTTACCTACTCACCCAAAAACCAAAAGTGATCTTCTTCGTGCTTATAGGGGGCATTTTCAGCTGTTTTTCGTGACGATAGGACATTTGATTTAACAGATAGTATCTGGAAACAAAATTCATTGCCACAATTTAGTCTATTAATTTCTGCTGTGACTCATGACGTTGGACTTGTCCATAAATCAGGTCGTTGGTTTTCTTGTTTGATATGTTTCACATTATGTAATGTCGATGCCTTTTACAGCTTACTATAGCAATGGGTTTTGCTCATTGTTGAAGGCATTATGGTGACCTATATCTGCTTACATTCCCTTTTTGTCTCTCGGGGAAAGTTGTCTCATCAACAATCATAGCACATCTGCTTATTTTTATATCATTTACCTAAAAATTAATGGGGCCTTTTTCACTCAAAGGCAATTTATCCACCAAAAGTTGGTAAAATACTACTTATGACTCAAGAAGATAACATTTGGAACAAAACTTTCCCAAACTTTCAGTATATTCATAGGGACTGTAACATTGACCTAATAATCCTAAAATCAGTAGTAGTTTTCCAATGGGGCATTATCAATCCAAGGTGAAATGTGCATTATGGTTCGAATTTTTTTTTCTTTCTAGGAAACCGGAAAGCCGACTGCCAGATATCTTTCATGATATAAATATAATTAAGCCGAGTTGACTTTTTGGCAACTCAGTTATAAGTTGCATACACTTCTCCATCATGTTAATAACAAATTTTGTCATACTGCATCTCCAAATTTATATTTTTAGATTGGTTTTGTTATAACTTTACAAGGAATTTAACTACAAACCTCAACCTGCGTTGCTTACACGAACCTTAAAACAGTAAAAGCTGTGATGTTGAAAATTAACATTTAAAAAATAATTTACTATCTCAGATTCAGGTTCTTTATTAATTAGTGTTTTCAATTACAAATCATATGATAATATACAAAACAACATTTCAAAGTTTTACATATAGTATATAATAATACAATTGAACACATAATTTTAAGAGTTGTATCTTAATATAATATTTTGTGGATTTAAAAGTTTACAAACTAAACAATAATTATTATGCGAATCTTTCATACCATAAGATTGGAAAAAAGTTTGCCTTATCTTTATATCTATATATTAATGTTCTTCTGTCTCTACTTCAGTGCAGAGTTTGCAAAAACGTTCTTCTCGTGGAATTTTGGGTTTATTATATCTATCCCGCTCTATATTTAAACAATGAGCACTGATACGTAGTTGTGTAATTTTACTTTTTATAGTTTTGGTAGTTTCAAGATAGAAGGTAACACAATTTAGAACAAAAATATTACTGAAAAGCATCAGTTTATTGTCCACATCTCTAGATTTGATTTTTTGTAGGTGTGAGTCAGATTACTGATTATAATATCGTATTAGACTGTTCTTAAAAACACTACTAACTTTCAAATTTAAGTACTTTAAATATTTTATTTAGGGTAGAAAACCAGCATTTTGCATTCTTGAGATAATTCTTGATCTGCAGTAAACACACTATATAATATTATATCTCTATGTATTTTAAGTAGTCTCATATAATAATTATACATTAAACATAATGATAAAATCATTATTGGACTCCTGTTACATTTAAGTCTACTAGCCATATTTGATGACTGTCTTTTGACCCCAAGGATAGATTTCAACATCTTGTCATTCTTGTGTTGTAATTTATCAATTGATAGATTGTCAAATTTATTTATCTACAGCAACATAACTCCAAAATGGTAAACACTGCCATCTTTAAAAATTGACGAAACAAGTACAATGTATATGTCACTTACAAGGGACACAAATATATATAATGAAATATATATATTTGTATAATGAAATATATACAACAAAGAAAACATAAACCAATATAGCAATAAACATTAATGGTAGTCAACAGTATAGAAATGTCATACAATCAGTAAAAATAAGAAACTTTGAATATCAGCATCAAATAAGACAAAAACTGACAGGACTCATCAAGTAGAAAGAAATATGTCTTTAGAAAAAAAACTACTAAGTAATGGTAGAAATACAATGTTAACCAAGTGTAGCGGGTGTGCTAATTGACATGACCAGAATACTTTTAGTACATCTAAATCAAATAGGTTCTTCTGTTCCAGGTGATAAAATCAAAAAATATTCCGTGTGATGGGAAGCAAAGCTGCATGTTTTTGGTAAAGTTAGAGAAAATTTAATGGAAAGAATAGAAGTATATATAAAACATAATAAACAAACACCAATCAACAAGAAAATAAAAAAAGATATCAGCTGTATGATTTTTACATGTCATTAAACCACTGACTAAGAACAAAAGTTTAAAGAAGACATTTCAACTCCCCTTGCATGGTTGTTTTTCAAATGTCATAGAGAACCACTGACAAAAGAACAAGAGTTTAAAAGAAAACATTTCAACATCCCTTGCATATTATTTTACATGTCATGAAAAACCACTGACTAAAGAACAAGAGTTAAGAAGAAAGTTTGTCCTCCTTCTTTGTGTGATTTGTTAACATCATTACTATACATGTATGTCCGTTATCTGTTGCTATGGTTAACGGGGATTCCCCATCAAGTCTGTTTTGCCTCCTTCTTCATGTGTTCTGTTACAATCATTCTGATTACTATAGATGTATGTCCATTATCTGTTGCAATGTTTAAAGGGGATTCCCCATCAAGTCTACATATCTGTGTATCTGCTCCTTTATCTAACAATAAACGTACAATATCCTCATGTCCTACTTCACATGCAAAAAATAATGGTGTCGTTCCATCTTCTTTTGTTATATTAATGTTAGCATTGTGGTCCAGAAGACAGTTGACTACATCTATCCAACCCATAAAACATGCGTAGTGCAATGGAGAACAACCAGCCTCTATATCAAAGACATAATCTACTGACTTCTTCTTGACATAATCTGCCACATGAGATGATGCATTCTTTATGAGATAATCAAAACAACCCTGTTTTTCTTCTTCTAATGTTTTTGATGGATGGCCTTTAATTGTATCTATATAAGACTGTTTACTACAGCAACAGATATTACAGTCAGCATTGTTCTCCAACAGTAACCGTGTTATCTCTAGGTGTCCATTCAGTGCACTGAAAACTAAGGCATTACATCCATCATAGGTCTGGGCATTAATGTTTGGTTTATGTTTAATTAGCAGCTGTACTATACTGGTGTAATTACGGATACAAGCATTGATCAGTGGTGTAAAACCGCTATCGTTACATAGATCAACATTAAGATCTTTCTCTAACAGTAACTCTACCATATCAGTATGTCCTTCCTGACTTGCAAAGAACAGAGGACTACAACCATTATTGTTACATAGATTAACATTAGGATCCTTCTCTACCAGTAACTTTCCTATATCAGTATGTCCTTTATAACTTGCCAAGTGCAGAGGACTACAGCCATTCTTGTAACAGAGATTAACATTAGGATCCTTCTCTAACAATAACTTTACTATATCAGTATAACCATTCTGACTTGCTATATACAGAGGACTTCATCCATCCTTGTTACATAGATCAACATTAGGATCCATCTCTAACAGTAACTTTACTATATCAGTATGTCTTTGGTGGCTTGCCATCAACAGAGGACTTACTCCATCCTTCTTACATAGATCTACATTAGGATCCTTAACTAACAGTAACTTTACTATATCAGTATGTCCTTCATAACTTGCCATGTACAATGGACTACAGCAATCATTTTTACATAGATCAACATTGGGATCCTTCTCTAACAGTAACTTTACAGTATCAGTATGTCCATGGTGACTTGCTGCATTCAGAGGACTACAACCATCATTGTTACACAGATCAACATTAGGATCTTTCTCTAACAGTAACTTGACTATATCAGTATGTCCTCTCCGACTTGCCTGGTAGAGAGCACTCATGCCATCCTGGTTACATAGATCAATATTAGGATCCTTTTCTAACAGTAGCTTTACTATATCAGTATATCCTCCCTGACTTGCCATGTGAAGTCCAGTAACCCCATTATCTGTACACTGATCAACATCCACATCATTATGTAACAACCACTGTACCATATCAGTATAACCACCATAACAAGCCCTTATAAGTGGAGTATTACCTGATCCATACTCCGCCTTTGGTATCACTGTATCCTTGGTGTTGGCTAAAGTTACTTGTTCTGATTTGTCCAGTCGTAGTAAGTACTGTAATAACTGTCTTTCAAATGATGAAACCTTAATATTATTGTTTTTAAACACAACTGTCACATTTCCTGAAGACCAGTCTTTTATAAGCCTTCCTATATATAATTCTAAATAATCATCCGGGATTTCTATAATGAATTCTATGTAAACTTTCTGTTCATCTGGTGATTTCTGACAAATAAAACGTTCATGTACTAAACCACTATCACCATGATCTATTAAACATTCAATCATTTTCTGACCGAAGTAATGAGCAAGGAAGTCAAATAGTTTATCATGTACAGTTCTATAAATACCATTCTGTTTACATATAAATGTACCATCTAGGGTGTCAAGGGCATGTTGCAGTTTTATCTTGGATATTCTTCTGTCCAATCCACAAGCATTATATGTGTCTTTTATGATCTGTTTTTGCCTCTTTGTTACTTTACCTAAGAACCATTTTTCTTCAAGGTGATTATTTAGGAGAACACATAAAGCAAGACTACATATTTTGTAGTTTCCTTCATCACCATGCTCACTTAACCTGTCTAGCTCACTTTTATAGATATCAAAAGGATTTTTGAAATATTCTTTGACATCTACACCTTCTTTTTCGTGATATAAAGAACATAAGAGTGGGAAAAAATAACATTTAGAAGATAAATCATCCATATTTGTCATGCTTGTACCAATATAGGTTTTTGCTATGTTTGTTTTCTCAACATACGTTAGACGTAACTTATCTGATATTAAGTTACATTCACAGAATTTAAAAGGTAACAATATATTAAACTTATCATCTTTATATACTTGTAATCTACAAGATACAATAATCTTACAACATTTGTCTGCAATAATTGTGTTAATCACAGGTAACAGTTGTTGCCAGTTTTCAATCTGTTGTTGATTTGCCGTGAAATTTCCACAAATATCATCTACAATGAAGACTGTATATTTACCAGGCTGATAATAAGTTCTAATGTCTGTGGGTGAGTACAAGGGTATTATATTGTATCCTTCTTTCTTTAAAAGAAGTGCTGCATGTCTTGCAATAAATGATTTTCCAACTCCTGATGGGGCGGTTAGAGTCAAGCAACTGTTGTCATGTAAACGTTCCAGGACGTAATCACTGGCTCGTGTAGACACGAACATTTTATCCTTCTCTTCCCAGTCTTCTATTTGTTTTTCTATTAGCTCTGAAAAATATATTAAGTGTAGCTAATTAAAAATAAAGAAATCTACTATGTATATGAATTATGCATAATCATTTAAAACAGCCATAAAGGTTGGAATACCTCTGTGGCGTAAGATGTTTCACATTTTCCTATCTCAAAACCTTTCATACCTTACTATACAATTTGCTATACAATATCTGTTGTACTCATTGTTGAAGGCTGGATGCTGACCAGTGGTTGTATACCTGATTGTTTGATATTTGTCTCATTGGCCATCACATCACAATTGCTTGTTTTGATACAATCTAAATTGAAAATACCTCGTCAAAATATATACCTAATAGCAATATAAAATATAAAAATATAAGTTATTGTGAAATCATTTAAATGAACATTAAAATACATGATTTTGGGTCCCTCTTAAGCATTTGATCTTGAGTTTGATTGTCATTCATCATGGTATTGGACTGATTGTCTTTAGGTAGTGAAAAGTTAGATCACAAAATTACTGAACTTCAAGGAAAATTCAAAACGAAAAGTCCCTAATCAAATAGCAAAATCAAACGCTCAAACACAATAAACGAATGGATAACAACTGTCGTATTCATGACTTGGTAAAGGCATTCTCGTATGTAGAAAATGGTGGATAAAACCTGATTTTTAGCCAGCTAAATCTCTCACTTGTATTACAGATGCATCAAATTCCTTTATATTGACAACGATGGGTGAACAAAACAAACAGGCATAATATATATATTTCATAGCTGACTATGCGGTATGTGATCCCCTCATGATTGAAGGCCGTACGGCGACCTATAGTTGTTAATGTCTGTGTCATTTGGTCTCTTGTGGAGAGGAGTTGTCTCATTGACAATCATACAACATCTTTTTTATATATAATAGATAAAAATGTCAAAAATAGGGGTACAACAGTCAACATTGTGTTATAATCTTATTCACTATATAAACAAAACAAATATGTCACAAAGAAGCACAAAAAGGCATATAGACAAAGCACAGAATCCTTGTACTAAATATGAAAAGCAAAAATGTCCATAAAAATCAACTAATTTGACCATTAGGTTAAATGTCAAGGTCACATCATGGTCATAACACAACACCGTCATCTAATGATATAGGTATACACCTTCATACCAAGTGTAAAAAAAAGTTGTGGCCAGGACAAGGTTGTATTATTAGCCGATTTGGTCAATATGAAAAATTCATTTAACATGTTTCAGGTTGCGGTAGATTTTTCCTCAATATGCACAATATTGCACAGTATTCATAACTTGCATATGTATAATGGCAAGTTTAGAAGCTGAGACATTTTAACATGTGTGGTTAAATTAAAGTGATATTAATTTTCCTGCAATTGAGCATACCCTGAAAAGCCCCTTGTGATGCAGCTTTTCGAGGTTAGTAATCTTTTATTTTTCAAACAATTAGTTCTGTTAATTCTGTTAATAATTTAGTACTTAATGATGTTCGCTTCTCTTGTTTTGGAATTTTTGCCAGATATTCGGAATCCTCTGGTTTTATCCATGTAGTGCTATTAAAAAAATTTGCCCACTTACCCCTACTTTTCCTTTCATAATATTATTACATATAGTTTAAAAAGCTATATTTCTAAATCTTATAAAATCCTTGTTATTTTTTCATATTTTTTATAGGAAAAAGGGTGCCAATGTTGAATGTATGCAAAACCTAGAGAGAATCATTTCCCGCCAAATTTTCAATCGCTTATAGAAAACAAGCACATTGACCATTAATTTGTTTCTGCTTTTTAAGTTCCTTTATGAATATACTATCAATGTATTACAGTCTTTTAAAAAGCTTGTTATTTTGAAACAAAGTAGCGAACATCCTTTAGCTCAGTGACTTGTTAAAAATTAAAACATGTTCAATATCACTACAGAGATATTTTTTATTTACATATTATATTTGAGTACCTCAATTTGAGACAAATAGTGGATATTGACCATACTGAAATCTGACTATGCAAACACATTTGCATGTGTATGCCAAGCTTACATTTCCCTTATAGATTACCTTAAATTCTGTATAGAAAACAATAAAGAAAAAAATATCTGGCCTAAGTAAGATAACAAGAGTTAAAACGCTGAAATGTCTTGCCTGCTTAACTGATCATAATTGAAATTGTGATGAAAGTCTTTAAAATAATGATTTTACTACAACAGTCAAGGGTATACATCTATATGATTATTATTATTAAAAATAACATACAAACACTAGAGTTACATCACTAACTGTACAAGTATCACATAAACATAAATGTATTTATGTAAATGAGGTCAAGTTCAGATGAACCCTGCCAGACAGACATATACACTTTACCATGATTCAATATGCATATAGTTGAACTATTGCTTATAGCAACTGACACACAAAACTGAAAACTTAAGTGACATAATGATACTTGAAAATGAGATCAAGGTCAGATAAATCTTGTTTCTTTGACATGAAGACATAAAAAAGATCGTGTATACCAAATAGAAAGATCATATTACTCTAAATAATTGAAAAAAGAGTGCACCACCTGAAATGTCTCGACTGTTCTTCCTATCAATGAATTCATATTTAAAGTCTGTAATATCTCATCATCTTATCATTTACAATGTACTTTGAAAATGAGGGCACGGTCATAGGAACCATGTCAGACTGAAGTGTACACCTTACAATCATTCTTTACACCAAATAAAGTGGTCCTATTGCTAATAGTACCAGAGAAACAGATCAAACCACAAAATCTTAACATTGACGAATGAACCACGAACCATGAACCATGAAAATGAGGTCAAGGTCATATGAACACTGACAGATAGACATGTACACCTTAAAATGATTCCATACACCACATAAAGTTGGTATACTGCTTATCTTACCTAATAAATTGACAAACTTAAGAAAACTTTTCATTGACCAATGAACCATGAAAATAAGGACAAGGTCATATGAACACTGCCAGATAGATATGTAAACCTCAAGATTGTTCCATACACTAAATATAATTGACCTATTGCTTATAATATCTGAGACAAAGATAAAACAAAAAAAAATTAAAATTGTCCAATGAACCATAAAAATGAGGTAAAGGTCAGATGAAAACTGTCAGATGGACATGTACTACGACTGACAATCATTTCATACATCAAATATAGTGGCCTTATTGATATATATAATACCTGAGTAACAGATCAAACCAGTAAAACTAAACACATTGCCCAATGAACAATGAAATTGATATCAAGGTCAGATGAAACCTGTCAGTCAGACATCTTCTTTTTTAATATGTACAATCATTCTATACACCAAATATAGTTACGTATTGCCTATATTATCTGAGATAGGACTTTACCATGTAACTTTAACCTTGATCACTGATCCATGGAATAAGGTTGCGGTCAGACAATCCCTACCTGACGGACATGTAGACGTTGTAAGGAACCCATATACCAAATATAGTTATCCTATTACTCACAATAAGTGAGTATTTCATTTAACAAAACAAGAGTGCACACGCTGAAATGTCTCGCCTGCTTTACTAACAATTGATTTTATGTTGATTATCTAAAAGATGAATGATTTACTAAGGCACCACAGGTCAGATAATCTAGTCAGACAGTCATAGATACATTACAATTTTATATACATCAAACTTAATACTGTCTGAATTTAAATTGTAATCAAATTTTTGACATAATATAGGTTTATGACACAAAAAATGGGGTGAAAGATCTAACAAAAAATGAAATGGGTTAAAATATTTGTATTAATTTTCAATTAAAGATATCTTGCTATTGCGCAATACAGTGCTATTGCGCTGTACTGTGATATTTTGCAATATTGTGCAGCTGCGCAATACTGTGTTTTTGCATAATAAGCAAATACTGTGCAATTGAAGATTTTTTGCTATTGCGCAATACTGTACACTTGAAGATTTCTTACTATTGTGCAATACTGTGCAATTTGATATGTTTTGCCATTGCACATTACTGTGCAATTGAAGATTTCTTGCTATTGCGCAATTATGTGCAATTGAAGATTTCTTAACATTGCGCTATATTGTGCAATTGAAGATTTTTTGCTATTGTGCAATACTATGCAATTGAAGATTTCTTGTTATTGTGTAATACTGTGCTATTGCACAATACTTAATGAAACCATTGAATCTGTGAGCTCAAGCTCACAAATGATACCCCGCCCCGCTAAAAGTATAAGGTAAACAGGAAGTTGTTGAGTGATGAATCTGAAAAACGCATCAAACGGTAAAGCTGACTTATATAAACCCTGAAACCGAACTTCAGAAATCTTTGTGTTGTAGTTCCTGAGGAAAATGTAACGAAAAAGTTCAATTTGGCTACTAGTATCATGTGTAAAATGATACAAGTGTTTGGTAAACAGGAAGTTGGTAAGTGATGAATCTGAAAACGCATCAAACGGTAAAGCTGACTTATATAAACTCTGAAACCGAATTTCAGAAATCTTTGTATTGTAGTTCCTAAAAAAATGTGACGAAAATGTTCAACTTCGCTATCAGGTGTTAACTGATACAAGAGTTTTTAAAGCACGGGTATAATAATTTACACATCCAGTTCGGTGTGTATTTCCAGCCATATTAGTATTTTTTGCTTTTATATATAAATCAGAAATAATAAATAATGTAAAAATGAAACATTTTAAGGAAAACAAATTATGCAACATTGTGGTATCGAACCTTCTGTGAAAATTTAATAGAGATCCATTCACTTTAACTGAAGTTATTGTCAGGAAACCAAATGTGTCTTCGGACGACGCTGACGCAGACACCGCAGCTGCCGACGACATCATAGCATTATACAACGAAATAATGTGTTTGCGGTCGTATAAAAACAGACCAAAATAAAAATTTAACATTGACCAATGAACCGTGAAAATGAGGTCACGGTCAGATGCTACCTGCCAGACAGACATGTACCCATTAGTCATTCCATACACAAAATATAGTTGGCCAGTTGATAATAGTACTTGAAAAACAGACTAAAACACAAAAACTTAACATTAACCAATGAACCATGAAAATGAGGTCACGGTCAGATGAAACCTACCAAACTGACATGTACTCATTACAGTCATTTCATACACCAAATATATTTGATCTTTTGAATATAGTAATTGAACAACAGATCAAACACAAAAATTTAACATTGATCAATGAACCATTAGAAATAGGTCAAGGTCAGATGAAACCTGCCAGACAGACATATACCCATTAGAGGCATTCCATACACCTTTAGTTGACCTACTGCTTATAGTATCTGAGAAACAGACCTAATCATGTAACTGTAACCTTGATCACTGATCCATGAAATGAGGTCGAGGGCAGTTGAACCCTGTCCAACCTACATCTAGACGTTACAAGGAAGCCATATACAAGTTTCTTTATTATTATGAGGCTGGCTTCATACAGGAACTTCTTAGGAAAAAATATAAGAAGTTCGCAATATCCTTTAACTTTACTTTCCGCTATACAGATGATGTTCTCTCACTAAATAATTCAAAATTTGGTGACTGTTGAACGAATCTATCCCATCGAACTAGAGATAAAGGATACAACCGATACAGTTAAGTCGGCCTCATACCTTGACTTACACCTAGAAATTGACAATAAAGGTCGGCTGAAAACAAAACTTTACGACAAAAGAGATGATTTCAGCTTTCCAATTGTAAGCTTTTCATTTTTAGTAGCAACATTCCAGCAGCACCTGCATACGGGGTATATATCTCCCAATTGATACGATATTTCCATGCTTGTATTTCCTATCATGATTTTCTTGATAGAGGTTTGCTGCTCACTAGGAAGCTATTAAACCAAGAGTTCCAAATGATGAAGTTGAAATCATCCCTTCGTAAATTTTACAGACGCCATCACGAGTTGGTTGACCGTTATGGAATAACCGTTTCACAGATGAAATCGGATATGTTCCTTGCGTCGTAACTACAATCCCCTTCCCTTTCATGAATGTGACCTACCGAATTAGACTATTTACCGGGTTTGTAATAACATGAGCAACACGACGGGTGCCACATGTGGAGCAGGATCTGCTTACCCTTCCGGAGCATCTGAGATCACCCCCAGTTTTTGGTGGGGTTCGTGTTGCTTAGTGTTTTGTTTTCTATGTTGTGTGTTGTGTACTATTATTTGTATGTTTGTCTTTTTCATTTTTAGCCATGGCGTTGTCAGTTTATTTTCGATTTATGAGTTTGACTGTCAATTTGGTATCTTTCGTCCGTCTTTTTCCGGTGAAGGACAAAGTCGACGTGGTCTATTGATATTCTACTTTTATCTGTTTCAATAAATATAATGTACCTTTGATGTTCCATGGTATTGGATCTTTTAAAATTTCCATAACGTTTGAATATTCTGTTTGTAAAGTACTGTTGGAAGTCTGTAAAATACTGTGGGATGTCTGTAAAGTATTGTGTGAAGTCTGTAAAGTTCTGTGGGATGTCTGTAAAGTACTGTGGGAAGATTGTAACTCTCTAAGATTTTCTGTCCTTCTAGAGTGTTCCATTGCCAAATTGTCCATTGTTAGTTTCAGTTGTTTCATCTCTTCCAGTGATTGTTTGATTTCCAATATAATTTCCTGATTAGACTGGTCTAAGATTTTTCTCTTTAATTCTTGACACTCTTGATACATTGTTTTACCTCCCAGTCGACTAACAGCCTAAAAATTAATAGTTCGATATCTGATGATTTTGTATGCTTGAAAACATTATTCTATATCATGTCTATGTACAATAATCATTTTTTATTCATTTAATTGGGCCTTGCTTGTAAATCAATATTAATATGTATTGCTGTTTACATGAGGATGAAATTGTGTGTAGGTATAAAGTTGTACAACGAATCAAAGATTACATTATAAAAAATATTTTGAGCTGTGATTCAATAGGCCAAACATTGTTTCATTGTGGTATACATACATGAAAAAAAAAGTCAAAATCTCTCAATAAAAGATAGTTGCACAAACATGACGGTATAATATGTTCATCTACCCATGATGGCAAACACAATCCCATCAAGTTTGAGAGCTTACTGTCGGAGCTTGCTGTCAAACGATATCAGAGAAAAGTAGCATTTAGTAGAGTCAATATCAATATCAATAAGGTGTCATTCAGTCAGTGTATAACAATAGTTAAAAAAAGGATCAAAGTCCCATTTATAACTCCTATAAAATTGTTTATAATCAACATGTCGATATAATATGGCCAACTACACACAAAGGCCAACAATCCTACCAAGTTTAAGAGCTGTATGTAAAACTGTATAACAGGAGTAGCGTTAATTAGAGTCATCATCAATAGGCTACACAAAGTATCAGTGTAAAACAATAGTATAAAATTGGTCAAAGTTCCATAACTCCTATAAAAATCATCCAATCAACATGTCGGTATAATATGGCCAACTACACATAACGGCGAACAATCATATCAAGTATGAAAGCTTTCTGTTGAATAGTCGCAGATAAGTTCTGTTCACAGTGTTACAGTTGTCCAAAAAGGTCAAAATCCAGTACCTAAAACTCACATTAAAAAATCAAATCAAACAGACAGACAGTACAGTATGGTCAAAGGAATATGATAACAATTAATCCTACCAAGTATGCAAGTAATCTGTCAAGCGAATAATTATAGCAAGTATGCAAGTTATCTGTCGTAACATTCTCTGTGTATTGTGTATGAATGGACCGACAGACATTATAGTATGGTCTAGGAAATATGATACCAAATAATCCTACCAAGTATGCAAGTAATCTGTCAAGCGGTCTCTGTGTATTGTGTATGGATGGACGGACAGACACACAAGTTATCTGTCAAACGGTCTCTGTGTATTGTGTATGGATGGACTGACAAACATTATAGTATGGTCAAGAGAATATGATAACAAATAATGTTTGCAGTCGTATAAAAGCACTGAAATGTTGTATAAATTGACATCCCGTCCGTGCAAGGGCTGTATAGCAAGTCAAGGTCGTTAAATACTTCCATCATCATCAAAATTGTCATCATTGTCCAACATGTTAAATATAAATGAAAGTATGAATATTGTAGTGTCACACTTACATCTGATATATCTTTCCATGCTGTATTAAAATAAGCAGTGTCTATTGTATTACTATCATGATGAGCTAGTTTATTCCTGTAACATTTTATCCTGGCTAGATCAGCACCTGGAGTTATCTCCCATGGCAGTGGTAGGCTGTCAAATCCCTTGACTGGAGGATTCATAGATGATAAGTTTCTGATCAAACAGATCATCAACGTTACATCAAATGTTTTGGAATCCGGAACTCCTGTAACATTTGTTATTGATCTGAGTTTTATAGTAATAAGTATTGTGTATAAGGTTCATAACAATTGGTAGATGTAAACTTAAGTTAAAGAACAGAAACAAAAATTCAGCAATGTTTTCCTTTTGTAAAAGGGCATAGCTCTAGAACAGCAAAAGTGTAACCACCTAAATTCAAACTTGATCGTACTTTGTGGTAGTTAGCAAATTAGTTGAGGCTAAATTATGTTAGAAAACGGAAACGAAAAATTCATCAATTATCCCGTTTCTAAATTGGCATAACTCTAGAACAGTTAAAGTGACACCACCAACATTCAAACTTGATCTGTATGTTGTGGTTATAAGCATTGTGTATAAGTTTCATAACATTTAGATGTGGCAAACTAAAATTAGAGAACGGAAACTAACTTTGGGACGTACGGACTGACGTAAGGAAGGATGGACAAGGGTAAAACTTAACGCCCCTTGCTACGGCGGGGGCTTAAAAAGTCGACATTCCACCATTATAGAACTTGTCAGAGATACTGCTGTTATTAACCTATAGTATAAGCCCAGTAATTCCATTTTCTCCGCAACGCATTACTCGTAGGGACAATAAAACGTCACTTTAAAAATACTTACAAAAATATTACTGATATAAGATATTGCATACTCTTCTATCTTTGAAATAATTAATAATTCTAATTCCATTATACGAGGACAGGGTTTTTAATTGTAGCCAGTTTACAGAATTTGTATGAGAAAGATTCGAGTCAAAAAGACATATATTTGTTCCTTTTTGTCATCTTCTTAAAGTTATGGGACAAAGGGTTTTTTTTCTCAGATGTTTTGAACATACAATGCATGACATCTTCATATATGTTCATAAAAGAGGAGGGGGTATGTTCATTTACAATCAGGGCATAAATGGTCATTTCGAGGATGAGCGAAAAAATATTACACAAACATACAGTCTACAACTTAGGAGATAGACTCGTCCAATGTGAAAGACAGGATATTGGTTTTGTCTTTTTTGCCAATTAATACAATTGAGAATGGAAATGGGGAATGTGTCCATGAGACAACAATCTGACCAAAGGACAGAAAACAGCCGTGGGTCTTCAACCCCGCTTTAGGTATCACAAGAGTGCACCTGCTGAAATGTCTTGCCTGCTTAATTACTGATCATTTATTTTATGTTGATGGTCTTAAATATAAAGCAACATACAGTAGGGGTACAACTTGTACAAGATATCTTAATTTACTTGAAGAAGTAAAAAACAACACTTATATAAGTGAGAGGTTTAGCTAGCTTTAAAACAAGGTTCATAAAAAGTTGACTTGTTATGATAAATGTGTCACCAAGGTAGAACATATTTGCATACATGTAGTTTATCATTCAAACGGAGGTAATCATGAAAAGTTTTTATTTTATAGATATTGCTTTAATAAATTTTTCCTCTATTATTATTTTTTATTTTAATAAATATAAAAGGATGACTTTGATTAAAATAATATTTCACAGATAAAAACTATCCAGCTGTTGAATTTGTTTTTGTTCCTTTATATTGTATTATGATTCATCTGCTTTTGTCACATTATCAGCAACTATATTACAAATTAAACTGCACTTTTGATAAATGTACACATTAATTAAATTCAAAATTTATTTGTACTACGATCTGAAAACAACTCACTTTTACCTGTATTTCACTTACCTCATTTTCTTATTGATCATGATATCTTTTCACAAGTAAGATCTGTGAAATTACTTCTGGTTTTGTTTCATATGTATCCTAATTGTCTTTTAAAAGAATTATATTTACTTGATAATAAATTCAGGATATAATTTTTTAATTAAAATCTGTGGAATTATTTCCCATTGTAATACATTTTTGTGGTTTTTAATTCATTTATTTAGCTTATATTCAATTACCCTATCATTAGTCCATATAGTATTTGCAAAGATATTTTTTTATAACAATTTAATATTTTAACTTTCAGGATAAAAGTTCATGGCAATGGAATAGATCTCAGAATGAAATATTTTCCTGTGGAAAAAATCTTACAATTTCATCTGTAACATTTTTTTTCCGCCGGATGATATTTCATCCAGTTAGAATTTTGCTTTACACTAGCAATATATATACGAACGCAAATATGATACCTGCCAAACATACATTTACACCTCTCAATTGTTCTATTCATTGAATTTCTGATAAATAGATCAATTTGAAACCTCAAAAACCAAAAAAAATGTCCTATGAACCATGAAAATGAGGTTGAAGTCATATGAAACCTGTCAGACGGACATGTACACCAGACAACCAATCCATACACATAGTATAGTGGCCCTTTTACTCACAGTATCTGAGAAATAGACCAAATCACAAAAACTTGACACTGCCCAATGAACCATGAAATTGAGGTTAAGATCAGATGAATCCTGTCAGTCAGAAATGTACACCTTACAATCATTCCATACACCAAGTATAGTTGACCTATTGTTTATAGTATCGGAGATACCGACACGACCTCATAACTTTAACCTTAATCACTGATCCATGGAATAAGGTCAAGGTCAAGAAAAAACTGTCTGATGGCCATGTAGACGTTGCAAGGAATATAGTTGTACTATGACTTATCCCTTTCATGAATGTGACCTACCGAATTAGACTATTTACCGGATTTGTTATAACATGAGCAACACGACGCCACATGTGGAGCAGGATCTGCTTAACCTTCCGGAGCACCTAAGATCACCCCTATTTTTTGGTGGGGTCCGTGTTGCTTATTCTTTAGTTTTCTGTGTTGTGTCATGTGTACTATTGTTTGTCTGTTTGTGTTTTTCATTTTTAGCCATGGCGTTGTCAGTTTATTTTCGATTTATGAGTTTGACTGTTCCTCTGGTATCTTTCGTCCCTCTTTTATAATAAGCGAGTATTTCACTTTTAAACAAAAAACTGCAATTTTATTTTTAAGGAATCACTTCCTGAACCTTGGAAATGAAGTGAAAGACAATGGATGTCTTACAGACCGAAACTTCGTAACATAATTGTAAGGTATCTGCACACAAGGTATGAATCATCCAGGTCTTCCACCTTCTGAAATATAAACAAATATATTACAACATCGCTGTATTGTAATACCTTTGTCTCACATATTGCGACTCCCGTTGCAGGCTAGACAAAAATGATACAATAATGAACATAAGAGGTAAGACAAAAAAAGATGGCGCCCATGAAGGTTTGATGCGAATTTGTTGCAGAGAATTTTGTGTTTTTATGCATTAAGAGATATTCTTTACGTCTTTTCTGTTACATCGATGTTACTACTAATTGATTGGAATTTATATATTAAAAAAAACCAGCACTATAATTATATATATAACGATAATGGACTTATTTAGTGAGTCATTAGATAAAGCGCATGATTGTAATTTGCCAATTTTCCTTTGTGGTGATTTTAATTGCGATATGATGTCAAACACAAGTAACTCTTTTCAAAAGTTACTTAACCGTTTAAACTTAGAAAATGTTGTTTGGGAGTCTACCAACTTTACAACCAAAACTGGAACTTGTATTGATTTATGTGTGACTAATTGCAAAAAACTAATTAAATCAGTAACTGTACTTACACCGATCTGCAGTTCTTATCCTCCTGTTTCAGTCGAAATTTCATTTAAAACTTTTAGACAACACTCGTTTAAAAGACAAATTCGTGATTTTAAGCGAGCAGATTATGAAGTTCTTAAAAACCAGTTGAATGATACTGACTGTGATGATGTTGTTTTTAATTCAAATAATATAAATGATGTTTATATGAACTTTGTCAAAACATTTGAAAGTACTGTCAATAGATATATACCTACTAAAACTATTACAGTAAAATTATTTATTAACAACTTGATAAGAAACAAGATAGACATCGTGATAGAATTCACCACAAAGCGAAAATTTCAAATAATCCAGATCACTGGAAAAAAAATAGAGAAATTCGTAATGAAATTATCTTATCAGTTTAGTTAGAAAGGCAAAAGATGAATATTAGTGCAAACTGACATCATAACTTATTGACAAACATATTCCTCTAAGTAAATGGTGGCGCATTGCCAAGTCTGTATCAAATTTTACTAAAAACAGAGATTCCCCCCTTTTTTGGAACATGATGGCCAAATTTTTATTCATCCATTGGACAAATCAGAGTTACTGAACAATCATTTTGCTGATATCGCTAATATTGATACGGAACCAGAAATTCCGGATAATAATGAGCCTCCTTCATGTCATTTAAACAAATTTGTCATCACTGAGAAAGAAGTTTTAGACCAGTTAAAAATCTTGAATGTTAACAAACCAACTGGACCTGACGGTATCAGTCTTAGAATTTTAAAAGAGGTTGCTAGCTTTAATTCTAAACCATTAACTAAGTTATTCAACATGTCTCTATTAGTTAAACAGGTTCCACTGTTATGGAAAATTGCAAATGTTAATCCTATTTTTAAAGGGAAAGGTAGTCCACATTCAGCTCTAAACTATCGTCAAATATCTGTTACTAGTATTGTATGTAAGATTATGGAAAAAGTTCTATTTAAACATTTGTATAACTATATGTGGAGTAATAACCTCTTGTCAAAGTTTCAATCTTGATTCCAGCCAGGTGACTCTACTGTTAATCATTTGATCGAAATATATCATAAAATTATGAGTAATATGGATAGTGGGGAGGGGGGGGGGGGGGGTAAGGTTTGTTTTTTGTGATGTATCTAGAGCTTTTGATAAAGTTTGGCATAAAGGACTTGTATTTAAACTTAAACAATCTGGCTTAAATAATCAGCTCTTATCTTGGATAGAAAGTTATCTTTCCGATCGTCAACAAAAGGTAGTTTCAGAAGGATTTTCGTCAACTCTAAGAAGTATACATGCAGGTGTCTCTCATGGATCAATTTTGGGACCCTTTCTATTTCTTATCTATATAAATGATATAGTAAATGACATTGCTAATGATATTAGACTTTTTGCAGATGACACCTCTTTATTTGTTATAGTAGATGATGATTATGTTGTAGCAGCTGCTTCTTTAATTTGACTGATGGCTTGGATGTTATCTCAAATTGGGCAAAATCATGAGCTGTTGAATTTAACTCTAAGAAAACTAAAAATATTGTATTTACTAGAAGGGAAAGGGAGCATCCACCTGTATATTTAGGAATAAATGGCGAAGAGGTTGAGCAAATAAATATTCACTGTCATCTTGGGACAACATTTCAGTCATTAGTTCATGGAACACACATATTGATATCTATACTATTAAACGAGAAGACCTCATTTTGTGTGTCGCATCTCTTCCTTCCAAAATAAATTAATTATCATGCCTTTGTGTTCTATAGGTACCATGCATAGTCGCATTTGTCATCTGTTCTTATGATTATTCAGTTTGGGTTATTTTGGGAGAAAAACGAAAATAAAGGCGTCCGGATATTGTTTCCGTCATCAGACAAACTTTTAAGTCATACAAGGCTTCCGGTTTTAAACTTTCCCCTTATTTTTTATAGGAGTACTCGGGGACAGGACAATAATTTTCGCGTTGATAGAGACTCTCTATATAATATAGAAGTGAGCGCCGTGGAAAAGAAACTTGAAATTAAAAGTTAAACGCAAATACACTGTATTTATAACATACGTATGTTCATAGTATACAGAAACGCGAAAATAATGGAATTTAACAAAAAACAAAAAAATAACGGACTTTGGAAAAAAGGGAGAGGGCTTAAAAGAATTGTCCTGTCTCCAAGCACCTATGAATTTTGATACTTTTTCTGAAATTCTCCAGACATAAAATCTTTTACAAAAATTCTCCCTACAACAGTTAGCATACTTTCAGCCAAGCTCTAAATGCCCGCGATTTCGCGGTTGAGTTCTAGTTATTTATAAAAAAAAAAGCATGCTCTCGTCTATCTGTGCTTCGTCAAGTCAAACATTTATTAGATAGGAATTCACTTATACGTATTTATTATGCTTTTATTAGACCTACATTAGAGTATGTTGATGTTGTTTTGGGCAATTGCTCCCAGCACGAGTCTTAGCTTCTAGAAAATATTCAAATAGAAGCTGCTAGAATTATTACAGGATTACGACGTTATTCCTCAAGACAAAAACTTTATATTGAATTAGGTTTAGAAACTCTGGAGAATAGACGTAATAAACATAAGCTTATATAATTCTATAAAATATTAAATGGGATGACACCTGCATACTTATATGAGTTAGTTCAGCCATATCTTCCAAGACAAACCCCTTATACTTTGAGGAATGACAATAACACTTTTCGCCCGCCTCTTGCTAGTTCTCTTATGTTTATAGTTTCATTCCTTCCACTATAATACTTTGAAATAGTCTTCCTTTGAGTTTACAAAAATCCCCAAGTTTGGGTATATTTAGAAGTGGACTGGACAAGTTTTATAGGACTGATGATATATTTAAACTTTTCAACTATGGGATAAGGAAACATAATATAAGTCATTGTCAACTCAGAAATAATGCTAACAACCTAAAATTTCATTTGTTTAATCAGTTCTTATCCGAGAACACTTTTTGTGCAAACTGTAATCACCCTGTTTAGGATAACCAACATTGTTTTTATTTGCCCTAAGTACAATGATGTAAGACAGATCCTACTTGATTCCATATACTCCATTGCTGATAATGTTGACATAAATATTGAATTATTACTTTTTGTCAATAGATTATTTTCATATGATATAAATATTGCTATTTTTAAATCTATGACACTCAACGTTTTGTTTGAAATTTACCTCATTTTTTGTTTTATTTAGTTTTATTTTTATTTTATTTTTTCCTCCACTTCAACATTAATTCATTTATTCCACTAAGCAAGCTTAGTATCTTTTTCAAGCCATATTTATATATTTCTAATGACTTATAAAGGATATTTGCATGTTGCAAGGTACTTGAATAAATGATGAGTAATTGCCTATATACTTAAATATACTTTAGATTTAGTAAGTAACACTGTAAACATATATTTGATGATGTGTGCTCATAAGTAGCACGCATGTTCCACTATATTACATTATTTTAAAAACAGTTGTTATAATTGAATTATACCTTGTAAATGTAATATGGAGAGAGCTTTTATAGGCTTTGCCTGTTGCTCAATCCCTTTCATATCTTAATGAATAAAATATGTTTAAAATCAATAATTTGAGGTAAATGCTACTACCTTGATATTGCTATTTATATTTCAGGAATAATGAATATGTGTAACGGTACATTTGAAAAGTTACTTCTATAAGTAATGCTCCTGACTGTAACCGTTTTTAGGGTTTCAACAAAGAACACACTCACTCAAGTGTTATTCCTTTAAACATCTAGGCCATCGATTCAGAAATGAACTAAATTTAGCAACAAGTATGTAAAAAGAAATAAGTAATGACAAAATATTGAAGATACTCATTCATAAATAAGACTTTTTTTTGCCATCACCAAAAATTCTTTTTTTTTTTCAATTTTGTGAATCTCATGTTTAGGTGTAATACCACCAAATCATGGTACGTCACATCCGGTTGTATAGGAAAATAGGTCGAAAAAAATATTCCCATGAATTTGACAGCTGTAGGTAATTAATCCTTCATTTTATTGCAGTAAAACATTTTCTGTGTCCTAAACATATGTCTTGGGTATTTCAGAGCACCATTATTTTTATATGTGGTGTATATTAATATTTTTGGAAACTTGAGCTTACATGGTTACTAAAGCTTGTACACAGGTTAAATAAGGGGGGCATTTGATTGGTTAACTTCCAGTGATGGTAATTTTCTCATATGCAATGAAATGCTATGTGAAATTTTTTCTATAGTACTGGAAAGGATAAAACTTTACTCATGCCAAGTATTTCTTCATTTGAAAGAAAGATAAATTCTGCACAATTTTTTGAATTTTTTGAAAAGTGCAAATTTAACAAAGACTAATAGGGGAAAATCATTGGTGTTATTACACATCATACGGGAAGCTGTAAATGTACCTTTGACCTTGTGAGTACTCGCATGTGTTAAAATTTCTAGCTATTTAAATGAAATATTACAAAAATGAAATATTCTGAGTGAATTGAGTCTCCAAAACACATTTTATTAGAAAATGTCCTTAAAATAGGACTCTACCATGAATATTCAGTTGACAGAATATGCCATACTTCGTGTTTTGGGGAGCTTTTTCTCCTTATTTCTTATATTCTGCTATGATAGAACATTTTCCTAAGAAATACTTTAATAAATATATAGTTATAAGTAAATGAATTTTCTTTAATGCTGTAACAACAAATTATTCACTAAAAGAAAAGCCTTTTATGTCCCTCTCTAGAACGCGGCGTAAATAAAATTTTTACGTAAGGACTTAATGAAACCTCCTTGGAGACAGTAAACTTTTATATGGATTGTTCATTCTGCTTGAATAGTTCAATTACTCATTTCTCATAACAATTATATCATAAATGAGTGAAAGTTACCCCATTATTTTTGTTTATTGGCCTGAAAAGTTGAAATTTTGAGGAAATGAGAGGTATAAATGAACCAAAAGAGACCTTATAAAGAAGACAAATAGGTCCATTAGTGGTATTTATCATCCTAAAATCATCTTTTGTATTATATTCAACTGTTTGTAGGCAGATGAGATAAATATTTGATCATTTATTGGTCCACACTATATGTTATCATGATGCGGCTTGGTTTGGATTTGTCGAAGAAATTTTGCTCGAATCGCTGTAGATGTCGTCTTTCATTGTTCTAGATTTTTCTAAAACTATTGAACTGATTATGACAAAACTTGACAGGAATGCTTAAAATAACAAGTATTACAAAGGAAAAAAGTCACATTCAGTTTATTAAACCATAATGTCTTCTTTAATGAAATTTTAATCCACAAAATTTCTGCAGTCACATTAAGACCTACCATTTCTTGGAATCAAAATATTCCACTGAGCCTGATTTATGATTCTCTTTACTTTTAAGTCCAAAAGAGTATTGTGGCCTGTACTTAATGTTGAGGGTAGAGACGCAGGTGGAAATTCTCTGTCAAAAAAAGTACGGACTACTCTAGGTGTCACTCCTTTCAATAGCAATGCTAATCGGACATAATTCTCCTCTTCTTCAGAAAGAGATGCCATGATTTCTGATACGTTTTACAACAGAAACCTATAGCATTGTAACTTTATGGTTCATGTACTCCTGCAAAATAAAAAAAGATTTCACTAACCATGAAAAAAGTATGGTGATAGTAACTAGAGGCTCTAATGATGTTGATATGAAACCGGGCGGAAATAGGCATGAGAATAACAAGTACTCAGTTGTAAAGATATATAGTTTCTTTATTAAAGGTTTAAGGTGACATCACCAAAATAACTGTGACTCATATATACATATATGTATGTTATATAGATACAATGGATAAGCGTGGATTCTTGAAAAAGAAACCATGAGCCCGGAGGGCGAATGGTTTGTTTTTCATGAATCTACGCTTATCCATTGTATCTATAACTTAAACTATTGTGTTAATTTCTTTTCAAAATTAAAGCCTTTTCTTAATTAGAAGGTATTGTAAGTGAGTTTAAATAACCATGTTATCGTGTCCAACGATGCATTCATAAATCTCAGATCACAATTAATTGGTTAACAAAATACCAATATAACACTTCTACCTTTAAAGATCTTTATATTACCAGGCATATGAATATTATCTGTTTATACAAAATAAGACATATTCAAAATTATTTCTTATAAAATTGAAAATGGAAATGGGGAACGTGTCAAAAAGACAACATCCCGACCAAAAAGCATATATAAAGTATATATAATAAGTATGTTATCGAAATTTTTCTAGCACTCTAGGCACATCACGATTTTCTAGGAATTTGCGAACATACCTTTGTAGAATTATGTAGTAAAACAGATGAAATCATACTATATTTATAAAACAAAAATTGACAAATAGAATGTAATCATTTTTGTTTCAAACATGTGAAATAGCCAATAATAATTAAAAAAAAAAACAAACGGTAAAACTCGCTATTATTACAAATATATCCACTATATCATGCAAAATTAGAATAAAACCAGGATAACTTAAGAATTGGAACAACAGAGAGAATACAGGGATTCGAACCTGAACCGATAAATCCCTATCTTTAACTCATTGATTTTAACCATGCTAACCTCGCGGCTACCAACTCATACTATACGACTGCCTATTGTGTCTATATAAAGGTACAAGCCCTGTGTGTCCGATGAACCGATGTATATCAGATGTTTATTTAAATATATAAAATAGACATCTATAGTGTAACTCATTGGTAGCCGAGAGGTTTCGTCGATGTATTGATGTGAGTCACACATAACAGATTTCAAGGAAGGGTTCGATTCCCAGTGAAGGCATATACAAATTACAAAAATTAAAGGTAAGTTTTTAAATTAATTCCATTAGTGAACAGAAATCAGTAAATTAGCCAATTCAAACTTAATGAAATTAGGCACACAAAGGAAACAATTGAATATAATTTGGTGAGTCAATTTCAGCGGCAGATTTAAGAAGCGTTGATTCTAGAAAAAGAATCCACGGTAAATGAATAGGCTGACGTCACCACAATGGTTTAAGTATACAGACCCTACAACACATAGTCATAAAAAACTATTAATACTAGAAAAGAAAGATAACTCTGACTTGCCTATGAACAAGAAAATTTGCACAATATAACATTTGAAGTATTTTCGTTTACATCTATATTTTCTGTCTCAAAGACTCAACTTTAACTTGTGTCTTGCGTGTATGAGTTTGTATATCTAATAAGCTTAAAGCCTCGGTCACACCTTAACGGATAGCTCGAACGGATGCCGAACGGATAACTTTTTTTCAATCCGTTCATATAAAAAAAGAAGATGTGGTATGATTGCAAATGAGACAACTCTCCACTAGAGACCCAAATGACACATAAATTAACAACTATAGGTCACCGTACGGCCTTCAACAATGAGCAAAGCCCATACCGCATAGTCAGCTATAAAAGGCCCCGAAATGACAATGTAAAACAATTCAAACAAGAAAATTAACGACCTTATTTATGTACAAAAAATGAACGAAAAACAAATATGTAACACATAAACAAACGACGACCACTGATTTACAGGCGTCCGTCCGTATTCGTTTCATGTCCGATTAGCGTACGTTTTTTTCCGTCGACGTCCGTTCTGTCCGGTGGAAAATTTTGAGCATGTTCAAAACTTTGAACGGACGTCCAACGGATGAATTGTCCGATGAACGTCCGGTAGGCGTCCGTTTTGTACGGTACTCGTCCGTTTCGTTTCCGTTTTGTATCCGTTACTTGTCCGTTATATATCCGTTGGAGATCAGGTAGACATATTCACCAACGGACTTGTACCGGTACGTTTCCGTTTCTCGTACGTTGTATATCCGGTGTGTGTCCGTTATGCATTCGTTACGCGTCCGTTTTATTTGGCCAGTACATCAACGGACTCCCAACGGATAACAATTTTGTCAACGGACAACTTTTATTTTCATCCGTTAGGCGTCCGTTCGTGCTATCCGGTAAGGTGTGACCACAGCTTACATTGCGAGAAATATGTAAAAAAATATACTCTGAATTATTTGAATTGTTTTACATTTGTCATTTCGGGGACTTATATATGCGGCATGGGTTTTTATCATTGTTAAAGGCCGTACGGTGACCTATTCTTGTAGTTGGTAACTTCTATGCCATTAAGTCTCTTGTGAGAGTTATCTCTTGGCAATCACACAACATCTTCTTTTTTTAAATCTACATAAATTCATCAATATTAGTAAGTGAAACAAAACAGTAAACATCGGTAAAGCATTAAAATATCTGCCTGCAGCAACTAAAGCAAAGTAGAGTAAGTATAGTAAGCAAACTAAGCAAATTATTAACTAAATGACAAAACTACATAATATAACTGTTTGTTTACCTCAAGTGTTAATTTGAAGGTCACACGACTATATGCTTATATGTACACCATATGTTAACCTGTAAAGTAATAATAAAGATCCCCAATGTTCAGCAGTAACTACAGCAGTATTCAATATCAAGCAATTTAACAATCTCTTCAGAATTTAGAAATAAGTCTGCTCAGTGATTTATTTGAAATGAGTGCCTAAATAATAAAAATTCCCTCCAAAAAGAGCATGTGACCAAAATCACTATCCATAATTACATCCCAACTTTATTGTTCTAACAGGGGTAATATAGAACGGATCACCCTACCAGATTCGCCTACCTGGAGTTACTTGTTTCTCCATGCATTCTTATGTTCTGATACTTTTTCGCGGGATTGTCGAATACACATCACTTGAGCTGCGTCGAATAGAAATCGACCTTATGCAAGTGGACATATACATGTACATGTGTAAGACTTTGACTGATTTTCAAACATTCAAATACGAAATAAAAGATGAATTCTGATCTGTTTTGTTGGGTTCTGAAATCTATTTTCAAACAGTAACATCTTTGAAAAGCGTTTAATCCGAAAAATGGTTTACAGATATATAAGTATTGATATTAATTTGCATAATGTCGATTTCTATCAGAAATATAGACTAACTTTCAAAATCTATGTATAGAAAATCAACTAAATTTCCAGTGTCTATGATAAGAATCGAACTCAACACCTTAAGCATATGAAGCCATTATGCATACCCCTAAACCAGAACAACTGGATACAAACTCATTGTTAATTTAACAGATTTTGTTTACACATTGAGTTCGTGGCTCATAAATTGGTATATACTATGCATGCTATATAGTAATATATAAATGTGGTAGACTATTTTATAGGTTTTACAGTAATTGTGTATATTTTTATATTAAGTTTATGGTATAATATTTTGTTTATTATCTGACTTATATTGATTAATTAAAAGGTATGAGTATATTAATTACAGATTGTAATTAATTGATTAGTATATTTATTTTCATAGTTCATTTTATTTGCTTATTTGACATTTGGACTTATTGACAGACGAGTTTTCTACTGGTTTGGGTAACTTTGGTTTCACTGTATTTTACTTCAAAGGCTTTCTTTTCATGGTTCATTGGACCGCACACTTTCTTTATTTCTATTGGTTATTATGTTTTGACGCTATATTTCTTTTGTTCTTTATACTGGTTATCACTTTTGATATAATGGTAGACATATGTGTTTGATATTTTTCTAAGTTTGAGTAAAATTCTTTCTTAGTGTTCTATATTCTATATACAGGTCAGTTATTTTTCTCTATTACTAATTATATGTTAATAGTCTAGATATTTATTATTTTACCTAGAATGACTGTTTAGAATGAAAGGCCGATGCGTAAATGTTGAATGCGAGATGAATGCTTTAAAATGATATAAAATAGATAAAGTACAGTAAAGTATTATATTTGATTAGATGGTTTAAGAGACGTTATTTTCATATTTTCATAAATAAAGTACTTTTAACTAATTTGGTAAAGAATTAATTAAATACACATTGTATGAGAATTCGAGTGTTCCGGTACGAATGCTTTAAATACTTTTAAAGGTGAAGATATAAACGTAATAAAAGTTATGTGGTATTGATTAATTATTTTAACTAAGAGTACATATCGTAAACAGGTGGATTATTACAGTAAAACATGGATTACAATTTGTTTATTTGTTATACAGGTATATTTTAAGTAATCCTGGGAAGATGTGATTAAATTCCAATTAGATAATTCAAGAGGCCTTTGCACGTCATGCGAGGTAAGCTAAGTGTTATTTTTGTAATGTTCGTATTTTTGTTTGTTTCTTCTTTATGCTTACGGCATTTGTACAGCACGCAGCTTTTGCTTTTAGTTTTGTTAATTTGCTTATGTTAAAGTTTGCATTAACCGCTTTTGTCATTTTTCGTATATTAGACTTGTTGATATAATATGAGTCGTGAATTGCATATGGACTGAACTTTGTCAGATACGCTCAACATTATAAGCATATTGTTGTAAATACATGCAGAACAGATTTATTTCTTTTTCTATTAGTAAAACATTTGTTTATCACATTACATGGATAGAAACCTATGTACCAGATTATTTATTAGATAAACGGTCAGAATCTTACTATTGTATTTATTTTGTAGGGTATTTATTTAGTTATTGTTATTATCCTGATTTTGTCAAGAAATAAAACGAATCCACCTCAGAA